ACTTGACCATTACAGCAGTATTTCAAGAAACAAACTCTTAGAAGATCATTTCTTCTTAAAGTGTTTCTAGCAACTAAGGCTGAACGGCAGCTGAGCAAGTGGCACTAATGCTAAATTGAAAGCAGGATACAGGTTTTAAATATCTTGTGGTAAAAGATTTCACTGTCCTTGAAACTGTAAGAAAGCTTGCGGTCCTACAGTTTACCTTCCTGAAGGAAATGCTTCATTTGTAGGACAAGGACAAGTTTAACAGGAAACAACCCAACAAAGATCAGAAAGTTACTCTAACTGATGAAATGCTGTGCTCACGTACCAAGCAGTGCTAATGCAGAAATCTGAGAATGCCAAGGCATTATGTAAATTTAGCTCTGATCAAACAAAGAAAAACAGGATTTTTTTTTTCTGGTCAGCTGCTACAAATAATATTTGTTGTCTTTGTTTTTTCACAAAAATTTGTCATTGCAGTCTCCATAGCTCAAAATGCAATTTTTAAACAGTAGGTTCATTGTAAGAATTAAGATAATGTAATATTTACAGTTATAGAAGATCTAAATGATTCCCCTAGACTTTGTATAGATATTTGTGAATATTACATATTTGTGAATATTCCATATTTGTGAATATGTATAATTACTTCAGTTAGTGTTTCAAGGCCAGGCTGGATATGGCTCTGGGCACCCTGGTCTAGTGGGTGGTGACCATCTTGAAACTAGATGGTCATTGTGGTCCTTTTTAACCCAGGCCATTCTATGATTAGTGTTATCTTTAAACATTAAAGTATTCTATAAAATACTTTAAGTTGAATGAAGATATCTATATGCTATATGAAGATATCAAACCTATATTTGGAGTGGGGAGGGTAGTTCTCAGGTTGAGGAGGAAGGAATTCAGCTCTCAAGTATCCACACATTCACAGAGGGAAAGCAGAAGGCTATTAAGTGACTGTAGAATTGAAATGCTGGACCATTTTGAAGTTGGGTCTGTTTAGTTGCTCATAAGAAAGTCAATTTTACTTTATTTTGCTTTGGTCTAGCCTATCCACCGATCACATTTAATTTTTATTAATGCACTAACTTGAATTTCTTGAGTAGGACAGAAGTCCAGTGTGATCTCCTTCAGAAAGCCATACTGCAAACACTGTCCTGCTCAATACTGCCTAAGATAGCTGCTGCCTCTCACCAAACTGAGTCTTCCCAAGGCTGAATCTGCCTTTCAACAGATCTCACTTGGAGACAGGACCTGGAGCTCTCATTTACTGACAGGTCCTTCACTGTGCTGCGGGCTCCAAATATGCTATGGATGTGCCTGTGACCCTTCTGTTCCTTGTGTGTACTTTCAGGCTACTTGCACGATCTCTAGAGCCCTGTACATCTCTTTCCTGCCTCTGGTCTTCTGAATCAGATGCAGACAGCTGTATCCTCCAACTTCGTATCTAAAACTGCAGGGAGAGGAGGGATGTGCAAAACCTATCTGAAATCTATGTGCATGCCTGTGCATGAACAGACAGATGCATGGGAAGAGCTGGTGAGATATGATGCACTTGTAGTGAGTGTTAGTAAGATACTGGAGAAAGTCCACAACACCATTTTTTTTTTTTTCCTCTGCACAGTATGCCCTGGGAGGCTCAGGTTGTTAGAAAAGCAAGGAACCTTTGTCTGAAAAGACTAAGGACTGGTGATCTTACAGAATCAGAACATTTTTAAGACAAGAAACTAATCAAATTTGACATAAACCATTGTGATTTTAGTATGTTATATAATAATTTTTAAATGCATGCTTGAGAAACTTTGTTTAAGAAGAATGAATTTATTTAGTGACTAAGAATCAAGATCTGAGAAGTATGCTTTGCATTTTAAATATGCCCCCAAAGAGGGGAAGAATAAACTAATTATTTAAAAGATATGAACTATCAATGATTTATTAATCATGATGTTTTAAAAATGCTAAATGCCACGTATGTAACTTGCATTCAGTGTCATGAAAAAAATGACAGAAAAATGCTTTGTTTCCAAACCTCCTAACTTTCTTCATAGGTTGTGAAAATTGAATGTGAAGTCTAATGTGATTTTGGAAATGTTTGTGTGTTTTGAATGAACATTTTTGGTGTTTGGTTTGAAAGTATTATAGAAGACTTTCTATGGAATACAAAGTTGTTATTCCGTAGTATTGTAGGCCTTGTTCTTGTTCTGTACTATGATGTTAGTTCTTTCAGTCCTCTTCAGCTGAAGGAGATGGTGTGGGTGAATCCCCTCTGGTCTGCATGGGGCATTTTTTCAAGTGGCCTTCTGCAGCAGAAGGCTGAGGAGTGAGTAGGCTGTAATAGGTGAGCTGAATTCTGTTCTTTAAATGCTGCCTGAGATTTGACAACTCCTGGATATTACCGTGTGGGCAGGATTTGCTCAGACGACTCAAAATGAAAACATTAAAAATACCATGAGGCAGCCAGCTCCAATTCAGTATTAGCATATAAAATGCTAATTTAGTAGTGAAAATTTATGAAAGGAAATGTTCTTGCTAGAGACATAAATCCCTAGGCATGTAACTAAAATTGATGCTAATATAAGGCTATGGGTAGTTGTGCCAAATGTAACCTGTTCTAAGCCTGCTTGGCTGTGAACCTACAGCCAGAGTAATTTTGAGCATATGAATAATTTTGTGCTCCTGTCACAAACTTCAGCAAGTATTCTTTCAGGTACTTAATTTTCTTAACATTTGGATTATATGAGGGCTGCTCCAAAAGTAATGCCACCTATTTTATGATGTTGGCTCACAGAATCAGAGGCTGATGGTGGTGGTATGGCAGTAGAGGTTGAACATTTCCACCAATATTCCATAGCATTTTGTTACTGTGTGACAGATGGCAGCAGAGGGACAGTCTGACAAAATGGTATCAATGGCTGTGAGCACAGTGAGGAGGTGGGTGTTGCGTAGTGGCAGAGGGTCACCTCTGCTGGTACAGATTTTAAGAATGTGATATGCAGCTCTTGTTTATTGCTGGTGAAAATGCATAGCTAATGGTGGTGACTGTCAAAAGAGTGTTGTGTAGCTGAGAATGTGCTCTATCAAATAGTGCAGTTGTGCTCTTTGCATCTGATGTAGTTTCTATGGAAATAAATGGGAGGCATTACTTTTGGAGTGACCTACAAAGTGATCTTTGTTACTGTGTGGTGTTAGTCCGAAACTACTAATTTCTCATTTTCAATATTTGCCCTGAAAATAAGAGGTTACTTTTCATACATTTCGTATTACTAGATGAAGTCTGTTTGGATGTGATCATTGTCTGATTTTGATGCCTGCTTCTTCGCACTGCTCATAGTTTCTTATCTTTGCTTGCGTTATGTTTTATGTCCAAGTCTGCAACCCCCTGCTTTTAAAGGTGCTACTTTTTGATGAGAGTAGGACAAGTCAGTGGCTGATGACTTCGGTGGCTTTACTTTGATGATAACTGAGTTTCTTAGATCTATTGAAGTGGATATCATCCAAAAAACACTCAAATTAATGCTTTGAGGACAATGTCTTAATAAATTGCCCTGTCATTGTTCGCTTTGGTTACTTTTTTTCAGCTTTGACCCTGAATTTTGTCAACTTATTTTTGGCCGATGTTTGTCTTCGTCAGATTTCAGAATAGTCACTGATGAAGTCCCACTTATTTTTTCCAGCTCTTAATATAGTTTTCCTTCTTTTAAGAATATTAAAATATTTCCCTTTGTACTCTGAGAAGCTTTTCTGAAGCAGATGGTTTGCCTGTGCATCTGCTGACAAAATTCTGAATAAATACGAACTAGAAAGTTGGATGGCTTCCCACACTTAAGATGTGATTCATGTAAAAATGGCAAATGTGCTTTAAGTATTTGAATGGTTGACGTACTACTTCACTGCTAATCTTTTTTTTTTTTTCAGTCAGGTGGTTTGGGCTGATAAGAAGATGACTATAATATTCAATAGGCCGTGCAAATTCTGTTACCTGAGGTTTTTATGTTTTGTTTAATGTTTACAGAAATCAACCTGACTGACCTTGAAACTAGTGGAAATACTAGTTTGTCAGCTGTATCACTTTTTCCCCCGTCTGCCTCTCCTATTACTTAGATTGGTTATTTAATGTTGGTAATACACAAAAATGAATAGGTGTTCGTTTATATAATGAATGTTCACACATTTTTCTGCATATCTCATCCCTTTGCATCTTGTACATGGAGTCCTAGTTTTTCCTCTCTAAAACCTTCACGTTTATGCTAGGGGTAGGAGCTTCCAAGTCACTATCAGCACTGAGCCCACATTAAATTCTAGAGTATACTTTTGAACTAATTGCAACCTACCTTGTCAACACTGAAGCATAGCTATAATATAGGGTGCCTCTGATCTCTGCTGGTTATACAGCGGATGTGTTTTTCTATACTGCATTCTTAGAAAACAAAAACTCTCTAATGTTGTGTAGATTTTACAGTACTCCTTTGTATGTTGTTGCAGTTTTATCAATCTTTTAATTAAACAGAATGTGAAATTAGGATGCTCAATAATAAATAGATTCTTTCCTTCTTCAGTGCTTGCGTCAAGTATTTTGACCATCCAAAGCATTGCCAAGCAGTAATAATGCAGAACAATTTCTTAATAACTATTGTGGCAATTACCTATACTTACACTGCAAGACTAATAATGCATAGGTTCTTTTGTAATGCTGTATTTGCACTGGTGACTGAACTGTGTCTACTGAATGGTGAGCTTGCTTTTTTAATAACCTTTTTTTTCTGCAGGACAACTTGCCAGCTTTGTGGTGTTCTTTCAGGGAACTTCCAGCATCTTCCATGCAGACCATACTACAATTTATTTCTAATATCTTATATAAGTTAGGTTTTAAGATTAATTGAAAATACTGGATGATATAGTTGATGAATTCCTGGTAGCAGATGATCGTTCTTGTCCTGTTGCTGTATGTGTATTAGAGACTTGTCTTGCTTTCAGGTGTTTCAAGCAGGAATTGCTAAGTGTTTGTTTCTTTATAGGTTGGAAATTACAAGCGGACAGTAAAGCGAATCGATGATGGTCACAGACTTTGCAATGATCTCATGAATTGTATTCATGAACGTGCACGGATAGAGAAGGTCTATGCTCAGCAACTTACAGAATGGGCAAAGAGATGGAAACAGCTTGTGGAAAAAGGTAATACATTCTCATTTTGAACTCTGAAAGATTTCTCAAATAAAAAAAAAAATTGAATGTTCTTGGTAAGTTGAAAGTAGAAATGTTTAGCTTAAATGGAACCTCTGCAAATGGCTCAGCACTGTAACAAATGAGTCTTTCAAAGATCAAGCTTTCCTTGATTAAGACAAAGCAAAACAAAACAAACAAAAAAAACCCACAAAAGACAAAAACTTAGCTCCTTTTCTAATTTGCTTGTTTTTTATGGAAGCAGATGAATATTGCCTCCAGTGTTGATGTATCCAAATAAATTCACTTCTACACATTAGCTGTTTCTCGGTAAATAATGGTAGAGAACACACTTTGAAAAGTACGTCTGCCTAAAAAGGTGTCAGTGGTTGTTGGGGAACCAATAATAGAAAAGTAGTGTTTTAATGAAAAGCTGATCTGATAGCATTTTAGTATATTCTGAGTTAGCTTTTCTTTTCCTGGTTGCCCGTGCTTCAAAAAGTATGTTGAGAAATCAAAGGCAGTTCAACGAGGAGCTAATAAGTGTAATACTGGGAATTGCGGTTTAGGGAGATGCAGGCCAGACTAAATGAGTATTATTTAAATATGATTTTAACATGTTATATTCTAAAAATATCTTTAAAAAAAAAATCCCTTTTCTAGATTTGCATAATTTTCTAGGAATTCCTACTTAGAAATGAATGTAAGTCAATAGCTTCAGGTAGTCTCTTGGGAATATAAGTTCCATGTGGGTGATGTTATTGAGAATGACACTTTCTGTTGTGTTTAGGCCCACAGTATGGAACAGTAGAAAGGGCTTGGTGTGCTTTTATGTCAGAAGCTGAAAAAGTGAGTGAACTACATCTAGAAGTAAAAGGTTCACTGATGAATGAAGACTTTGAAAAAATCAAGAACTGGCAGAAGGAAGCCTTTCATAAGCAAATGATGGGAGGATTTAAGGAAACCAAAGAAGCAGAAGATGGATTTAGGAAAGCTCAGAAACCCTGGGCAAAAAAGCTGAAAGAGGTACAGCAGTAGATTATGTATTAGATATCTTGTGTTACAATATATTAATGTCTCAAATCTCTGTAAGGGAGTAAACTCCCTATTTCTCTGCTGGATCCTCCTTTCTCAAAAAGATCTCTTGCTTTCTGTCCTCTTCTGAACATAAGTATTTTCTCTTGGTCTCTCTTAATCTTGGTGACTTCACTGAAAATCTGGAAAAAGTGGAATTTAAGTTATTTCAATAATATCTGGTCCCATGCACTGGGAAGTTACGTATTGTTCAAAGAAATGATCAGGGGAAAAGTATTTGCAAATTTTCTCCTTGTCCCGCAACATTCTTAAGTAACAGGTTTGTAGAAGGGGAGCAGAGGAACGTGGGCATGAGGAAAAATTGTTGTACTTGAGACTTCCTGTAATCCTTTCTTGAGTCTTTCTTCACTTCTCTAAGCTTTTGTAAGTGATATTTGTTGTATGATGAAATACATTGATTTCAAAGTACTGTAATAATTTCCTTACGTTGATTATTGTGTAGTATTCAATCCAAAGCCTAAATAAGAATGTACCAAAAAAAACCAAACCAAACAAAAAAAACCCATCCTGAAACAAAACCATCGCAATTGTTGTATAAAGTGTCACAGATGCAGAGATTCAAATCTTCTTTTTAGGTGGAAGCTGCAAAGAAAGCATACCATGCAGCCTGTAAAGAGGAAAAACTGGCTATATCTAGAGAGACAAATAGCAAAGCTGATCCAGCGTTAAATCCTGAACAACTCAAGAAATTACAAGACAAAGTGGAGAGAAGCAAACAAGATGTACTAAAGGTATGATTAATATATAGCTTGTCAATATCTGAAGTTTTTTTTTCCTCCTGAATGTGCTGTGGACTGCAGTACAGCTTAGTCTGTTATGGTCCTATGCCAAAATTTGGGATTTTCAACAAAGCATGTCATTGTTATGCTCTTTTGTGAGGAACAGGTAGTATAACCTCTATTTTATCTAAGTACTTTGAGTAGGGAAAGAAATAGAATAATACAAGAGTTATTCTTATTTGGTAGTGAGAACAGAGTTATTTCATTTGAGAGAACATGAGATTAGATGCCAGCACGCTTTAAGCATCTAAGTTGTCATCATTCCTGACAGCAAAATGTGTGCTTCTTAAAAATTATTCTTTAAGGAAATGAAGCTGATACAGTCTATTTAAATAAAGTAAATGTGTGACTTTTTTTCAAAAAAAAAATTTCCCTTTGTGATGTTGTTCTGTGATCTGGGTGGCCAACATTATGTTTGGTGGGATCTCTTAATATCTCTGGACTACTGTTATAAGTTAATATAAAGTCAAAAATTCTGTTTGTTAACTGAGCTCGCTAGATTTGTGACTTAGGTTCACAGGAATTTAACTGTTTGTAACTGACAGTGAACTACGTAAACTGCTGAAGGGGAAATGCTAACACTTTGAAATTATTTGGTGATCTTTAACTAAGAGACCCTGTAAATTGAAAGACCACTTACTCTTATACTAAATGCCTCCTTTGTTTTTTATCTTTAAGATTACATTAATGTTTTTCATGATTTCTTTCAAGAAGCTGGAGAGGAGGCTGAGGCCTTTATTGGAATTATTTTGTTATTTTGTTAGGTAACTCTCATCATGATCAAACAGGTACTGGTGGTAATGCGAAGAGAATGTGATTTGGTGTATTTTAGTCCAGGTCTTGCCTATTACTATATTATTTGTGGGTCTCGTAGGACTGTAATAAAAATATTGCTAATTGATTTCTTTTTTATTCCTTCCACCTCAGACAAAAGAAAAGTATGAAAAATCACTGAAAGAATTAGATAATGCCACTCCTCAGTACATGGAAAACATGGAGCAGGTATTTGAACAGTGTCAGCAGTTTGAGGAAAAACGCTTACGTTTCTTTCGAGAAGTGTTACTGGAAGTTCAGAAACACCTTGACTTGTCTAATGTTGCAAGGTAAAACTGTGCAAGACCTCAAAATTAGTGCTTAATACTTCTGAGCAAAAAATAATCCATGCTTCAAGTAGGTCGGTTTAAAATCTGACTTAATTTTAATATTTAAAATTAATGACTTAATTTTAATTGCTCAATTTACTAAAAGTGGAATATGTTATTTCTTTGTTTTGTCTGAGATCTGGTTAGCATCTATCCCTAGCATTTGCTAGTTATCTTCAGAGGTACCAAATGAACTGGTAAACCCTCATTGGTGATATATGTAGATTGCTCCAAAAGTAATGCCTCCTATTTATTTCCATGGAAACTGCAACAGCTAAAAAGAGCACAGTAAAACACTATTTGATAGAGCAAATTCTCAGCTACAAAACACTCTTTTTCAACACAGTCACCACCTAGCTATGTGTTTTTGCAAGTGGTGAACAAGAGTGTGCATGCTGCGCTCATGAAAGTCTGTACCAGCAAAGGTGTACCACTGTTGCTGTCACCACTGCTGAAAGCCACCACTCGCCACCACACTGTGCTCACATCCACTGTTTGGTCTCCATAAATGTTCAGCAAGCATCAACGAAAGTCAATGGCATTTCTTCTGCATGGAGTAAGTCAGTGGCTCCCCTTTGCTTCATGCACGCTTACATGTCAAACACCATTTTGTCAGACTGCCCCTCTGCTGCCATTTGTCACAAAGCAACAAAATGTAAGGGAATATTGGTGGGAAGATTCAGCCTCTGCTGTTATATACCATCAACATCCACCTCTGATGCCCCGAATCAACAGAGAATAGGAGGCATTACTTCCAGAGAAGCTCTTATATTTCTAGAGATCATGTGCTGTGGTCTGGTAGGGTTTCACTAAAATCCATCTAGCTTGTTAATGGACTCATAGTTCTGCATCACTTTTAAGACCTTGTATCTGTTGTATTAATACCTCTTCATCTGGGTTCCATATTACATCATATTGATCCTTTTGTTAAAAAAGAAGCCTGTTATATTTGTAGTCAGTCTGTAGAGCAAGCATATCATGTGTGTGGTTTAAGACAGGGGATCAGAATCGTATCTGCAGCATGACTTCTACTCTGTGTAATCCTTCATCGCTAACAGAGTTCGACTTAAATGAAGAATTAGACCAAAAGATGAGCAGGTGAAGCAAAGTTCTTTTATATAGCATTTGATATTTTATGTAAATAGTGTAGTTATTAAGATCACAGTATCTAAAACAGTAAAAGCTGTTAGCAGGTATAAGAAACATACATTTTCTTCTGCTCATTTAACTCTGCTTCAGGTTGGAGACTTTTATTTTCATAATGAATTAGAAGTCTAATTGGAGTAAGACAGAAATTTCATAGGATTGCAGAATACCTAGTGTTGGAAGGGACCCATAAGGATCATCAGGTCCAACTCCTGGCTCCACACAGAATGCTGTGAAGTTAACACTGAAAACAGTTCCTACTACCTTGTAGGCAAGCTTTTAAATTCAAGAAAGTTCAAGGTTGACATTTCGTAATTTAAATACATTCTGAATTAAGTACTACATTTACTGACAACTATTTAAGATACTTTACAAGAGAGTAATAATCCATCTTTCAAATAAGGATGTTATTTCACTGTTTTTTACAAGCAGTTAATGGGTCTGTCCCACAGTTTTAAAGTCTGTCTTGCAGTGTTTTTTTCAATACTGTTTATATAAAAGTGTGTGTATATATATATATATATATATAATATAAATGAGTCTAGGGAATTTGTCATGTTTCTACATTTGTGCTGAATTTGAAGACAAATTTGTTTTGCAGTTACAAAAATATCTACCGTGAGCTGGAACAGAACATAAAAACTGCAGATGCTGTTGAAGACTTGCGGTGGTTCAGAGCTAATCAAGGTCCAGGGATGTCAATGAATTGGCCTCAGTTTGAGGTAAGATCAGAGTATGGTTGTTTTTATGGTTTTTTTTTATGTTTTTTTTTTCTTTTCCAGTTTCCTTTCTGACATGTTCCTTTCTGGTGAGACTCTTAGACTCGAACAACTTCTAACAGTTAATTTTATTACCTTAATATTTATACTTTTCTTTATTTCTATTGGGTTTCCTCAGCCTCTACTTTTGGAGGTGATTATATCAAACACCTATTTCAAGAGTAGAGAGGTAAAAGCAGATATTTTCTTTTAAAATGAAGTCATTACTGAAGTTGTTAGTATGTGATTTTCCCTTTTGGTGTCAGACTTAAATTGGGATTTCCTTGTTATTGAGTAGACAGCAAAGACTGTTGAAGTAGTTAAAATATTTCAAATTGATTCTGAAAATGTAGAAGTCTTTTTAACTAGTATTTCTGGTACCATTATATTAAAAAAAATAATAATAATAATTAAAAGGCCCTACCTTGCACTGGTTATTTTATTGCTGGATTCAGTTTTGAAAGGAAAAGGAAAGCTTTTGAGGAGTGTTCTGCTAACTTAGCTTACGAGAAACAAGTTCCAAATTCTGTCAGTGCAGAATCATGCTAGCAGATTATCAAAAGGCTGGAATTGGAATGAATTTCTGTACAGAATCATAAGTTCAATTGAAATAATTTCTGGGCATTCAATTAATGGAGTGGAAACTTCAGTTATTGAGTGTAAAGTAAACTTGAAAAACCTCTCATTTTAAGGTTTGGGGAAGAAAGCTCGTATTAGTACTGCAGAATTTCTTTGCCTGAAACACTGAACTACAGTTACTTCTGTGTGGGGAAATACCATCCATTTTCATAAACATCATAATTAATACATGAAATTCCATTGTTACTATTTTTCTAATCAAGTGTTTTTTCATTTGCATGCTACAAGGATGATGTAAGTAAAAAACAAAAGTCATGATCAAATGAATATGAAATGTCATTATAAAGTACAAATGTACTTAGGTCAGTGGTCTTTATATTTTGGTAACTCTAAAATCCATATGTATTTGTACGAGGTGAAAATAAAGAGGTACCTCTGAAAAGTTGGCCAGAAATCACTGATGACTGACCATGCTACTTGTATAAACAAGTAATAATAGCATCTCACAAAATCTTCATTTTCTTCTTGATATCTCAAAGCTTATCTTTTGGATAGTAAACCGTCTCCTGAATTTTTGACTTTTAACATGTTCTTTGAGATGAAACGTGTAAGCATAGGATATTTGCTTGTGTTAAGTTTACTCTCTGTCCTCTGTTTTATATCTGCATGTGGCCTAGTTTGACTTGAAAGGTATAACTTGTGTTTAGGTCTCATCATGCCTGTTCATCTGCCTTCTGAAACTTCTCAGTGATTCAGAACATCAAGGAGGGGATTCTTAACAAATGACATCATGAGTCCTGTCAACAGTTGTGTTGATTTGAGCTCTTTTGGTTGACTTTCAAGGACAAAATATTTGAGTGCAACTCCCTAAGGGCTCATTCGCATTTTAGGGACAGGAGAAGTTATATACAATGACTTGAAAAATGAGCTCCATTGTAGGTCAGTCCTGCAGCACTTCTCAAGAAGTAAACTTGTATCTCAGAGTAGATTGCAGTACTTCAAAAGGTAAACCTAAGATTTAATTTTAAAAAGCCAGATGTCTTGGCATTACTTGAAACAGTAAATGCTCTCAGTACAACTTTTAAAGAGTTGCACTGAGCAATTCCTTTGATTTCTCCAGTTCTCTACCAGATGGTCTGGTATTTTAGGTCTTTTCAAGGTGTGCAGAATGCTAAGCAGGGAAGTACATGTCACTTTGGGATTTGTGACTAGCAAAGATTTGTTTGCATTGCTAAGATAGGAACTAGATGAGGACTATAACCAAAACATGAGTAACTTATCTTTACAATAACTATTTGTAAGGCTGTATAAATGTATGTTCTGTAACACAGTCTGAGAAATTAAATATGATAATTAGTGCTCCATTACATTTCTCAATCACTTTTTACATTCGTTGATAGGAGTGGTCTGCAGATCTGAATCGCACTCTCAGCAGAAGAGAAAAGAAGAAAGCTTCTGATGGAGTGACTCTGACCGGTATTAATCAGACAGGAGATCAAGTTTCACAGCCTAACAAACATAGCAGGTATTTTATTTTTTTATTTTTAGTTATATTGATTATTTAAGATAACAGAGACATAGGATCAAAAAGCCACTGGCCAATTAAATGTTACTTATCTGTGAGCATTCTTAAAATAGCTTTCTGCAGCTCACAAAATATTTTGCTGATTAATTCTCCATCTTACATTTGTCTCTCCACTGTGGATTATAAGAATACTGAACTTTGTAGTGAAACTGAACTGTGTAGCTCATCAGGCGGTTGTCTGTTGCTATTTTTCTATCTGTAGAAATGACAGTTTTTCTTTGAAATCTTAGCTTGCAAAATGCTTAGTGACATCACTAATCTGGATGCCGTTAATACATAGCTGTTAACAGCAGCTGCCTTAGAAAATAATGTGTCTAGTTCTGAAGGAGTGTATCATATTGTGAGACTGTCAGAACTTTCTTGGGTCTTATGCTACTCTTGTGGGTTTTATTTTTTGCTGTTCTTTTTATTGATTTTTTTTTATGGCTGGAGAAAGGGTCTACTGAAAAACTACTTAGTGGGACACAAATGAGTGTTTCTACTCTTAAACAGATAGGGTCACCATAATGCTCTTTCTTTTCCAAATTAGCAGTCTTAGTGTCCAGAGTAACACAGTGCAGTCAGTACAATCAAGTTACAATCCCTTTGAAGATGAAGAAGATACTGGGAGTACTGTCAGTGAAAAGGAGGACAATAAGATCAAAAAGTTGGTGAAATGTTGTTTTAATTGTTTTTACACTTTCTCTATCCAGGGTTTTCAATTTTCAGTTTCTGTAACGCTCTGCTAGTGGGTGCATGAAGTCTGTTTGAGAGGTTTTGTAAACTACACTGTAAACTAATTTGTCTCTCCTAACAGATGCCACATCTGTTGCCCTGCTCTTTGGTTTGAAACTACTGGGCCTATTGGCAGTTGCTAACAGAACTGCTGTTGTTTTTTTTCCTTCCTAAACCAGTCTTTTAAAATGTGTATGGTTTTTTTTTTCTAACGAGAATGTTCCTGGAGCTTTACTCCTATGCGTGTTCTTGCTGAATAAGTCTGCTTTTATGATTGCTTTCTTTTTGTTTAGGACCTTTTCATTATGCCTACCTAAGGATATCACTGTCTTAAATGACATGCACGTACTCAGCACTGAACTCTTCTTTAAATGGTCAGGATGTCACTCTGTAATGAAGCTTTTATATTGGTGAATTGCAATGTACAAAAAGTTAAAATATATTGTAGGGGGTGCACAGAGGAGTGAGAGAAAGATTCTGAATGCTATTTAAATATCTAGTTCCTCTTATGTACTACCTTCACAGCTTTTACCTTTCTAGAGTAAATTATCTCATAGATTCTACAGATTTCTTGTTAGAGAAATTTCTTGGAATTTATAGGAAAGTTGTCTTTGATTTGTTGTTTTTTTTTTTCCTTTTTCTTTTTTCTATTTTAACTCTGAATATATTGTAAGAATGTGATTGTATTTTTTTTTCTGAATAAGGTATTGCCAGCTAAAGGTAGATAAGATAAGCAGAGAGAAATTTTCAAAGCTGAGCTTTACAGAGAAGTTTAAGTTTAACTAAGGAAACTGATATCTCGGGGGTACTTTTAGTCTCTTAATGTAAGAGCAGAAAAAAGTAATTTAATATCTGTTTTTAGTGTTAGCAGCTATGAAAAAAACCAAAGCTACCCTACAGATTGGTCTGATGAAGAGTCCAACAACCCCTTTTCTTCCACTGATGCAAATGGAGACACCAATCCATTTGATGAAGATACTTCTCCTGCAATGGAGGTGAGAGTGCGTGCACTCTATGACTACGAGGGCCAAGAGCAAGATGAACTCAGCTTTAAAGCAGGTAAGTTTACAGTGTGCACTTAAAGCACTCAAAAGGAGAAATGGGGCAAATAAGGACTTTTCCTCTATAGCATTTCCTTTATTTTCTGAAGTCACCTGTCTCTCTGAATGTACAACTCCACTTACAGGATCTTGTCTAACCCACGTTCCTGGTAGTGCTTCTTGCTATCCCATGTTTGAGAGTAGTGACTTATAATCTGTTTGAAATGTTTTGGAATATATCCGTTTTGGATATTCCTTTTACCATTTTGTGTTAAATAAAACAGGGAGCTGCAGTTGATTACTTTTTCTCCTTTTCTTAGCTGATGACAGTAACGGCTGCTGCTTTTAGCTGTCTACAAATGCCAGCCCTACAAAGATGTTATTTAAAGGAAAAGACTACAGCTATGCATCTTAAAACAATATCTAATCAACTGATACATTTTTTTCCTGTCTAAACTGGGAGCATTCACTTTTTGGCCTCTTATTTCCTGCACCACTAAGGTGTTTTAGTTGTTTTTTTTTTAAGCTGAGCACTTAGTCATGGATTGATAAATATTTTCTCCTTTGACACTCTTCAGTATATCTGTGTGCAGTAGCCCTACTGTGTTTTACTTGTTTACTTGATTTTGTTGGCTTGCATTATATTAGGGTACACTGACTGGATGTCTCCCTTCTTGAGATGTTTTATTTCCCTTGAGTCATTTTACTTGACTGTAGGAGTTGAGAAAACAAAATAGAGGCAGTGGACTGGAGAGACACATGACAGTTTCCCAGTTACGTGTTTCCACCCTTACAAAGTTCACATAGGGTTATGATGATTGTATACCATAAATGCTGCTGCCTTCAGTTTGGGCTACTAGCAGTTGCGTGCTGAGTGAGTGCCTGGGAGTCTTCCTCAGCCTTCAGTAGCAGACTTCAGATGTTTTTCATAGTCTGACCAACCTGGAGGCAGCACCCTCTATTGGTGGAAGGCAAAATCTGCACCTTTTGAGCTCTGATACCTGTCTTGTCTTGCCTCAAACTGCACATGAAAACCTTGCTAAACAGGAACTCCAGAATAAGATGTTTTTTTCATAGTAGGTTAACAGAACTTCAGTTTGTGAAAGTGAGATTGATTAGATTGTCAGTCTACTCCTTTCACCTTTGCTTGCTTGTCACTTGCTCCTTTCTCCTCTAATGACTGGCTAACACAGTTGTAGAAGACAAAGAGGATTCAAGTGATAAAAAAAAATGTCTAAGAAAATTCTTCATTCCATTTCCCCTTCAGCATTCATAAGAGTTATGCTATTTCATCTGCAGTGTGGCTTGGATGTTAGAGCTGAAAGTTCTTATTTCAAATAAGACTGATGTAGCTTGTCACTGAACTGTTAGTATTCCATTTTGCATATGGAGAAAGATGGTTCTCAGAGCTGCATTAGACGAAAATGTTTTTATGAATAAACAAGTCCCATAACCCTGGTGAGACTGTCTATTCACTCTCTTCTCTCCTTTTTTAATAGTAAAACTCCATACCTTTGGCTTGTCTTTGTAGACAAATAATTTGGACTTTGAAAGAAGAGAAATGGTTTGGCTTTTAAGTTTGTTAAATTGTGCTCTGACAGAAGGATTGTAATAACTAAACATCTGGAGCTTTCTCTGGAATGCACAGAAGCTAAAACTACTCTTCATTCTGTAGACTTTAACTGTTCATTTTTTTTCTTGATGGGGGGGGATGGAAATAAGTTAACATTCGTGAGATTTATAATATTGTACCTGTCAAGTCATTCTGGCATCCCAAAGGTTTACAATAACAAAGACTTTCCATGACAGAACTATGCAGTGTTTTTACACACAGGCATAATGGTTAAATATGAAGTTAAACATTCTGTACATTTAGTACCAGATGTTAGACTTGTATTAAACTACTTGAATGAAGTGGCTCTCAATGTGAGACCTGTAGAAATAAAGTACGAGTATGAACAGTAAGAAGTGTAGACTTAACTTAAAAACTGCTTAGTAGCTTTGAAGTAAGAGCATTAAAAAACATTATAACAGCAGATCATGATTTTATCAATCAGAAGAAAGTGATCATGCTAGGCTACGAACCTCCTTTACAGGAGAAGAATTACAGAATGCCTGCAATCAAATGTTCAGCTTTTTAGACACAAATATTGAAGTGACTAGGTTTACATTGAATGTGCAATAGACTGGATCAGGCAGGAGCTAGTTTAAAATGTGTTATGTTCCTATATTCCTATGCAGACTATGCCTAGAGTTGTAAGCAGCTGTCAGCAGGCGATTAATGCATGTTAGGGATCTGTTTTAATGTATGAGGATATTCTCCAGAGGAATTTCCTCAGGTATTCAAAGAATTTGCCTACAAAGCTTTTGTAATCACTTTTAGCCACATGCTGTAATATACAGGCTTTGTACAGTGTTTATCAAATATACTATTTTTCTATAGACTTGAAACTCACCTTTGTATTAGTGGGATACTTTATACATCAGTTGTTTTTTGTTGTTGTTGTTATGAGTTTTTTTCCCTTGGCAAACAAATGTGGTGGGCTTCCAAAGAGGAGGAATAACTTTACCCATATTTTATGAGAGGTTTTATAATCATATAACTGCAGGGGACATAACCATTTAGCATATGTCTAGTTTTCTGCCATGGCTGAGAATAAATAGCTACAGTAAATGTAGACCAGGCAGTGTTGTCAAAATGTGTTAGTATACATGCTATCTTCCTTGCATCTGTAAAGACTCTTTCTGTTACAAACCTGTTGTGCATATGATTGCCAAAAGTGATAATACTTTAATAAACCTCCAAGGTCACTGGTTTAAAATTTTGCAAAACATCTCCATAAGTCAAGTATTTGTTCATAACTTTCTTTTATTATCTGCTAGACTCACAAACTAGAGATCCCAGAATCACAGAATTGTAGGGTTTCGAAGGGACCTCTGAAGATAAAGTCCAACCCTTCTGCTAAAGCAGGTTCTTTACAGTAAGTTGCACAGGAAAGGTCCAGGCTGATTGTGAATGTCTCCAGAGAATGAGACTCTACAACCTCTCTGGGCAGCCTGTTCCAGTGCTCCGTCATCCTTACAGTAAAGAAATTCTTCCTTGTGTTTGTTTGGAACTTCAGATGTTCCAGTTTTTGCCTGTTGCCCCTCGTTCTGTCACTGCACACCATAGAAAAGAGCCTGGCCCCACCCACTTGACTCCTGCACTTCAGATACTTATAAAACTTCAGATACTTATAAACAGTGATCAGATCACCTTGCAGTCTTTTCCTGAGGGCTCCTGGGATGGCTAAGAGACCCAGGTCTCTCAGCCATTCCTCGTATAGGAGATGACGCAGGCCCCTGAGTCATCTTTGTGCCCTTCCTCTGGACTCTTTCTAGGGGATACTTTGTCTTTTTTGAACTGAGGAACCCAGAACTGGACACGGTACAGTAGATGTAGCTTCACCAGGGCAGAGTGGAGTAGGAGAATCACCCCCCTCAACCTGCTGGCCATGTTCTTTTAAATACACTCCAGAGTGCCATTGGCCTTGGTCACAAGAGCACACTGCTGGCTCACAGCCAGCTTGTTGTCCACAAGGACCTCTGAGCCCTTCTCCACAGATGAAGTTTTAACCTTTTATAGATGAGAACAATTATAGAAGATATGTTATTATGCTTGTTCCATTTCTACAATCTGTACTGTATAGGTTAGGTTTTGCTCTCCTAAATATACTCAGACTTCTGTAATATTTTGTGTATTTATAGCCATTAGAGATGGGTTAATATAATCCCATGCATCTATGGAAATAATTTGACTCAAAGAAGTTGTCTGTGTGAAAATAATTCAGGTGATGTGGACTTCTATTTGCCCAGTAGACTTTTTGCTGAGGTGGACGTTCCTTTGCTCATGTACAGCATCTTGAAGTCTGCAGACTAATGCCTAAGTATTTCCTGAGAATGCAGAAGATTAGAGGCGCACAATGAGGTTATTTTGTAGTTCATAAATACCTGAATGGATATTCAGTGTTAGCTCTTGCTATTCAAGTTTAGGAAACAAGTTCTTGATGAACTTTTTTACACCTACAATTCTGCACCAACTTCCAACGGTGTAATGGTAGGCGTTAAAAGAAAGATGTGGAAAGAAGAGATGTGACAGTGTCAGTACAGTGTCTAAACATTTCTTGAACACCTCCAGTGACCTCCACCACCTCCCTGGGCTGTCTGTTACAGTGCCTTCTTGGAGAAGTATTTCCTAATGTCCAACCTGAATCTCCCCTGGCACAACTTGAGGCCATTCCCTCTAGTCCTATTGCTAGTTACACGGGAGAAAAGACTGTCTCCCACCTCACTACAACCTCCCTTCGAGTAGTTATAGACAGTGATAATGTGACCCCTGAGCCTCTTGTCCACACTGAACAGTCCCAGCTCCCTCAGCTGCTCCTTGTAAGCCTTGTATTCCAGATTCCTCACCATCTATCTTCAGCTATACGTGAGCCTTTGATCTTCTAGTAAAATAACACCATATATAAGTTAAAAAACGGCATTCTTCAATTTTGTTTGAAATGCTGTTTGCGCCTTTTTGAAATGCTGTTTAATGTTTTTGTTTCAAAGTAGCTCGTTTCTCATTGCTTTTCTGAAATTGTGAGATCTTTCATCCCATATGCAAATTAGTAAATGACGTTAGTATGAAAAGTGTGAAGAGCAGAGACTAGAGGCTTTCTGCTGGGAGCTGGTGTGGGTAAGATAACAAGAGCGGACATGTAAATAGATAATTGTCATGTTAGCTTTCTATTGTTGTCACTTAGAAGTTCATAGATTTTTTAACGGTGCTGCTTCTTTTTGCAGGAGATGAGTTAACTAAAATGGAGAATGAAGATGAACAGGGATGGTGCAAAGGACGTCTGGACAACGGACAAGTTGGTTTATACCCAGCAAACTATGTAGAACCAATCCAGTGACAAAGGACAAAGTTAATACAGAAGTGTTACAAAAGCTCTGCAGGCCTGTACAGTATATATTTAAACCAAGAGGAAGTTGAATGATGTATAGAGTGTATATATTTTCATGAAAAGGAGAGAAAGCTCAATACTGAAATTGCGGTGATTTAAAGACAGAACATAGAACTGATTTCATGTGGTTTTCACAGCTTGTGCACAATGCAAATGAAAGGGGTTAGGTGAAAAAAATAGCGATAGGAAGAATACTTTTTAAGCTTTTTTCTTTCCACATGGTCTATTATTGTGACTCTTAAACATTTTTGCGTTTTCTATGCTTGTGCCTCATCCTACCCGAGGTATGTGGCTTATGCTGAGTTATGTTTAATCGGTTATTTTAAGTGACCTTCAGTAACTTGCAACTTGAATTTTTAAGATTATTCTAGTTAATTTTCTATTTGTTCTTAGCAATGTCTGAAAGATGCAGTATTTTTTTATTTAAATGCTATGTAGGTAAGCATCTTTTTTGTATTCTTGATCATATAATACTTAAATTATGACATAGATTTAGTCAGCAGTTGACTGAATGAAAAATCCATGTTATAGTAATCTTTCAATGTTGTCAGCATGGCTCAAAGTTGTAAAACAGATATTATATGTGATAACTATCTGTTACAGAAGGTTATTTGTAGCAGAGATACCTGCAGGTGTCATGGGTTGGGATTCTGTTATGAATGTTGTTTATATGGTTTGGCACTTAAATGAGTTTTCCTTGTAGATCTTAAGTAGCTCTCTATAAACAAAGAGATAAATCACGTAAGCCCCAGAATACTATCTGTTTCCGGCACATGTGTGCAGGAAAAAAATCCTTCTAACTGCTAATGATTTTTTTTTGTGATTTGAAATGTTAGATCTGTGAAGACTGATTTTTTTTTTTTTGAACAAAGATTGTAAAATAGACTAAAAATGCTTTTTATTAAGAGGCTATCTGTTGTGTATATGTACATACAATTTGATATTCCAAAATATAAAGAGCATGGCTATTAGTTATCAACCTTTTGATGTGGATAAGATTTAGACTTATAAGAGTTTAAATTATAGGTATATTTAAATCTGCTTTCTTGCCATATTCATTACTGTACTATAGACAAAATATTCTGTGATTAGGTTTTCAGAAGTACAGGAAACACTCTAACATACTCAAAATCTGTAATGTGGATAAATTTGTGGGTCAACATATAAACTAGCCTTAGTCCTTACATGGATTATTGTAGCAGAACACTGTAAAAACTACATTTGTTTGCAATTACAACTCAGTCGTCTGTAACAGTGCCAAATAGTTTGCATTTGTGACATTTAAAACTGAGTTGTAAATTACAACAGATTTGTGTTAAAAAAATAAAAATCAAGTATCAGGTGAGTAGATATGCTACTTTAGGAATCTACACTGTAATGAAGCTAACAAATCTATTTTGAGGTAATTATTAAACACTGTTGGTAGTTTTGGATTTTATCGTTTGCTTTTCAAATGTATAGATATACTTAGTCATAATGTTCAATGCATTACAATGTGCAAGCTCTGAAAGTGGATGTATGTATGTCTGTCAAGGAAAACTTAACATAATTATTCATTCACAAAATGGTTACTAAATCTGTCAGGAATTACTGCCTTGGGTCTCTATATTGTAATATATTTTAGAAAACAATAAAATCTGTTAATCTCTTAAATGCACAGAATGCACTTCATCTTGCAGTGTATGTAAACATACTTTTATAAAGCAAATAGCACACTTGGTTGCAATTCAAGATGACAAAATCTGTATTATCTGAAAGTCATAAGGATGGGCATGCCAGCAGTCGCATTGTGCTGCTTAGGCACAGTGCACAACAGCTCTTATATGCTGCAGCAGAATGTTTATGGAAGACGAGGAGATTCATGTCTTCTGTGGGTATGCAAAATGTACTACGAAAAGTTTGATACAGATTGTATGAACAACTAAGCGTTTTTGGTTTTTTTTTTTGTAATATCTGAGTCTCTTCTATCTTCTATGAGAGAGGTGTTTTTCTTTTTGGGTTTTCTTTTTTTTGCCAACTGCTAGCAATTAACATAGTAGTGTTTGTGATTGCTAGCCAGAAGTTTGATCATGTCTCTCACATCAATATTTTTTAATCTAAATAATCCAGTTCTTTATGCTGGGTGTCAAATTTAGTGAAGCAACCGTAGGAATCTAAGTGAAAGCAACCACAGGAGATCTCCAGTTCAGTGGCTGATCTAAAGCACAGTCAACTCGAATTCAAAGTAGGTTGCTCGAGTCTTTGGAGCTGGTCTGGAAAACTTCCAAATACTGATTTCTAACCTCTCTGTTCAGGAAGTTACAGTGTTTAATTATCATTATAATGGTGTTCTTTTGCCCCTGGCTTTACCTGCAGTTGGAACGTGTCCTATTGCAAGACACCACTGTGTCTTGTTCTGCTGTGCTTGATGGAGCCTGGCTGGTGTCTTGGTAGCCTCCACATTGCTGCTGGAAGGCTGCTCCTGCCAACTCCAGATTCATCTCTTCTCCAGGTTGAACAAGTTTTGTTTCGTCAGCCTCTCCTCACAGAGCAAGTGTTCTATCTCTCCTAATTTGTCGAGTCTTTTTGGGGAAAAATAGTAGGCTGTTTTATTAGAAAATTAGAAGATAAGCAATTCCTTCCTTATATAGTCCAAAGCTATATTGAAATTCTTCTTAAGTTGTTGCCTTTGTTGAGGCTTTGAGAACTTGACACCAAAATTTTAGCACATTTTTTCCTCAGACTGCTAATATATTTGAATCTATAATTTTATATTGTAGCCTGCAAATTTGGTGTACGTATATAAGATTGTAAAAAGCACAGATATACTCTCAATATAACCACATTGTAACTCATAATATCTTGGTATAATGATCCAACCCATTGCTATTATCTCTTGTTGAGATGCCTGTGGAGATGGCCTGACATGCTAAAACTGTTTTTGCCATAGCTGACCTGAATATTTTTGTTCTGTTGTCTTTCTTCCAATTAAGCCTTTATTCATAACACTTGCAAAGAAGAAAATTAAAGCGGGCTTAAGATTGGCGATAAGTAGAAACAGTGAGTCTTCTAAGGGGAAACCACAGATGAAATGCTTGTGTATTAATCTGATATGATCTGGGTGATTAAAAAAAAAAAAAAAAAAGTATATATATTGTTGTAAAACAAAGGAGAAAAGGAAGAAAATGGAAGATGTAATGAAGGGTGGATGTCCAGCAGCAATACCTCCTGTTCTCCTAGAGTCGCATCTATCATTTTTAAAAATTAACTCAGAGGTTACATAATCATCTTTATTAGTCTTTCCCCCCCCAATTTTCTGGTTTGGCAAAGTTAGTCATTTACCTCAGAATACCACAGAGCTTGCTAATTGCGGTCACTTTGGAGGAATTTACAGAGCTTGCTCCTGATCTGTGAGAATGAGTTATTCCTGATAACATAGGATACTTTTACCTACTGGTTTTGTTTGAATTATAATGTAAAGAGCAATTTCAGAGCATAAGAAAGATCATGCAGTAATTACTGCAGTAGACAATCGCTTCAGTGTGTTTGACATCTAAGAGTTTATGTGCTGATGGTAAGCATATATCATTTTCAGCCTGCTTTACTTCCTTTCTCCTGTTAGAAATACAGATTCCTATGTGATATGACATCAATCCTCTAGCACAAAGTTTCAAAAATACCGTAGATAGTTCTTGAACGCTCCATTCAAAGAATACCTTTGTAGACCAGAAGTTTTATTGAGCACTGCTAACATTTCAGAGGGTGTAACAACCTCTTTTCTGCAGAGAAGATTGACGGTAGTAGGTTGGATGAAATCGGTGCCAGTAGCACATTGTGGGTGCCTTGGGAAGAGCATAGAAATAGGACAACATGCAACGACGCTTCAGCCGCAATATTTCAAGCTGTTAGTGATCTGTTTCTTTTGTTCTATGAAATAAGAAAAACTTATTTTGAACATCCCATTCCGTTCATTGCTTTTTCAACAACTGTTGTTCGTACAGAAGTAGATGAAGTAGGTCAGAAAAGTGATCCTCTAATTAGTTCCAGAAAGACAACCAGTAGCACTCTTTCATGTAGTAGCTAATTGTGACCCCATTAGAGAAGTGCAGACTGTGTTTTTATTTTGCATTTGACTCTGAAATTTACTTGCTGCTTTATTACCTAGTTGGTATTATACAAGATATTTCTACTGCTTTTTGTTGTTTTTTTTTTTTACTTCTGTAAATGTAAGTAGTTCAATAAGTAGTTCTATTTACTGTTCTCACAGATAAATACACAAATTACATGTTCAAGCATGAGTCCTCTGGGCAACACACTGGTAACCTCCCACTGTTTGTTATGGTGGTCAGTGACTAATTTATTAAATGATCATTTCCTTATTTCATGGCAATGTATCAAGGTTTTTATGAGGGACATTAACAAGAACATTCTGAAAATCCAGGTTACCTTTACCTCAGCTAGGTCACCTTTCTGCATGACCCATGAAGCTGTAACTCAGTGAAGTAGCAACCATATTAATTGTGAAGTAATTGTGTATTATGATATAGATATTTCTAGAAACCTGAAACAGAAGATGCAGAAATTTGATTGCCTGCCAAAGATAAAATGCTATCATGTGGCCAACATAGGTAGGTTTTGCAGTGGAATACTGCTTCTAAACGTGGCTTTGCAAGTCTCTTGCATTCCTAATGCAAACAGGTTTACAGAAGCACAACTGAATATTGTCTATGCAGTGAACTTGTCTGAAAATTACATTATTGTAACTTTTTGGCTTTGTACTGGACAGTGCTGTTGAGATGGATACTTCCAAGATTAGAAAGCTCCAAGAAACCTCACCTATGTGACGAAGTGGTTATGCTTCTTGATGTTATCAGTACAAACAATACATTATTACTAAATAAAAGTATATTATTGATATGTAGAACTGGTTTCAACTGTTTTTTAATGTAGTTTAACACTGTTAAATTTCATTTCCATATTGTGGGAGTAGACACTTAGATGCTTGATCTTTCTGCTCCATGGAGATTTTCTGGATGGATTATGTAGTCTGGAATGATATGTGTCTGGGACCATTTGTGTCATTGCAAGAAAGAGGCTGGCCTTGAATTTCTAGAGCCGCAGCTGCCTTGAAGTAACATATTATTGTTATGCACAACACAAATAAATGTGAGTAGTCACAAGTTTTGCTCAGCGTGACCAAGTTTCCCAAAGGAAACGAAGCATGAGTAAACAGTGAGGCTGTCTTCAAAATACCTTGAAGAAATTGGCATTCTTTCTCAAGGAGAAAGCAAATGGCAGTACAGCTTACTGTGGATAATTCACTGTGGGTCCAGCGAATGAATGCACATACAGACTTGACAGTTTTTTGTTGCTGTGCTCCCTTTTGACTGGAATAGTGTTAATATTCTTTGTAGTAGTTCATATGGTGCTCTGTTTTGGATTTATGATGAAAATAGTGTTGATAACACACTAATGTAATCAGTACTGAGTAGTGGTCTTCTGTTTCTCACGCTGCTCTGCCAGTGAGTAGGCTGGAGTGTGCAAGCAGCTGAGAAGGGGCACCACCAGAACTGCTGACCCAGAATGACCAAGAGGGATATCCCACACCACACAGCATCACACAATAAAAGCTCAGGGGAAGTTCATCAGGGATGCTGCTGTTCAGGGATTGGCTGAGCATCAGCTTGTAGTGATAAAGTTTTGTATCACTTTTTTTCTTCTTCAGTTCTTCTTTTGTTTCCCCTTCCCTTCCCTCCCCCCCTATTCCTCCCCCCCACACACACACCTTTTTTTTCCCCTCTTGTTATACTGTCTATCTTAACCCATGAGTTTTCTGACTTTTGCCTTTCCAATTCTTTCCCCCTCCTGCTGGGAGTGCAATGTGAGTGAGCAGCTGTGTTGTGCTAGCAGCCAACAGGGTTAAGCCACAACAGTCAAGATGAAAATCAGCTGAGGGCTGAGGACACAAGTAGTGTCAGCTTTGCTCATAGTGCTGCTCTACTACTGGCTCTGTCTAAGGAGCTGTACTGCACCTAACTCCAAAGTAGAGGACGCTCCAGCACTCAGTCTACAGGCACCTGCAGGCACCCTTGAGGGGTAGAGTTTTTAAAGACATTTTTATTTATTCAACTTGCAAGAGCAGGCAGTGAATTACAAGCACTGCCTGTTCCCGAGTAGATGTGGAAAGCTCAGCCCTTTCTTCTGTGTCCGTTTGTTGTATCGCCTGTTTCCCAAGTCTAGAGTTTGCTTTTAATATTGCCCCAGGTCACGTTTACATCCCTCAAGTTCCTATGTATGTGCTAAATGCTTTTCTTGCATCTTGTGTAGAGCTCACCTGCTGGCAGTCAGCTGAGCTTGCAGGCTGCAACAGGTGTGTCTAGTTTGCACACCCACTTATCTGAATGGCAAAGTACGGCCTTGGGATAGAGGTACTGTGTGAGACAGAGACAGCACGGTGTGTGTTGGTGAATACTGTCAAGGGTGGAGTCTTGTGCAGTGTGCGCAAAGTGGCTCTGAATAACTAGCAGGTTTTTGACATTCTGACACTGGGGCAGAGATGAACCACTTCCTGAAATAAGAGTCCGTTTTGAAATAAGAACCAACAGCCCACGGTGTTATTGCTTGTGCACTCCGGTTTAGCAGGGCTGCTGCAGTGGCTGGAACTAGCTGCCTTTGAGCAGCGTTGCTTGGGGAAGTGGTGGTGTAGCTGAGGAGAGTGCGGGACAGTAACAAGGACTGTCCTTTCCTGGGGCTGTGCCACATGGTTTAGTCTTCAGATTAACTTCGTTTTTCCAGTGTTGATTTTTCCACTTAGCAGGCAAGATAATACCTCTCCTGCCTTTTTCTTTTTTTTTATCTTCCCTTTGTTTTTCTTTCAGTAGTTACGAAGCTGATGTAATAGACTTTCTTTCATGGAAATTTCTTGGCAACTCTTTCTCCCTGAGAGGCCAGCAGCTGTAGGCTGGCAATCCTCACACAGCCCAATGGGGTTTGGCAAGCAAATCTGGTTGTGAACATGTGCAGGACGTATAGATACCTATGAAGGGTGAAGGCCAGGACCTAAGATAGATTTCCACGTAAGGCCTGGCGGTGGATGTTTTGGGCCCTAGATAACTTATTTATGGCCCTATTTTCAACAGGTTAGAGCAGCCACTCTGCAGAAATCGCCTGAACCTAGACGATTATAAAAGAAGATGCTAGGAAAATTTGTCCTAACCCTGTTTCATGTCTGGGTACCTGCATAGTCTTTCCTCTCTACGCATGATGAGAGCGAGGGGAGGATGGGATACAGAGGCCTCGGGGGCCTCTGACGAACAACAGTACTGAGATGCCAAGATTTGTCCCTGGTTGCGTACTTCAACGTGAGCGCCCAGAGGAAGCGACCGTTTCCTCACGTTTATTCACAGTGCTTGAAACCAACGCGCCGCGTCCGTTCCGTTCACAGATGTAACAACCTGTCCCACTTCTCTTCTTTCCAAACCAGCAGCAACCGGACCTGCTGTCGCTCTCCCACATTTTCTCTCCTCACGCAGCCGAGGACCGCCCCTGCCCGCCGTTCAGCCCGCGCGCCTCCCGCCACCAGGCGCTGACGCGGCGCGGTCGCGCGTCCCCATGGCAACCGGCGCCCCCTCGCGCCACGCCGGCGGCTGCAAGCCGCGCCCCGCCGGGCGGCCCTGCGCGCGCGCCCGCTGCGTGGCCGCCCGGCAGGAGGGGCGGGGCGTTCGGCGGCGGCGCGGCCCGGACAGCGAAACAGACGGCGGCGGCGGCTTCGCTCGGCGACCCTCACGCCTCTCCTCCGCCTGCCGCCATGTGCGAGCCCAGCAAGCAGGACATCAGCGCCATCTTCAAGCGGCTCCGCTCCGTGCCCACCAACAAGGTGAGGGCGCCGGGACTCGGCGCGGTCGGGGCCGCGCTCCGCCGCTGTGACACGTCGCACTGGCGGGGGGCGGGGCGGGGCGCGTGTCTCGGCGGGACTGGGCCGGACGGGGCGGCCGTCCGGATACATGGCACGGCTGCGGGCGGGGACCCGGCGCCACCCGGCGCTTTCGGTGACTGGAGCGGCTGGGGGGCAGCAGCGCGCCCCGGGTTAGCGAAGGCACGGCGGGTGTTTCTCCATCAAACACACACGGTCGCTTCCTTGGTGACAAACGTGGGTGTTGCCTTTAGCTCAGCCGGCGAGGACTTGAGCTGCGGTGTCGTGGCCGTGCTATTGCGTGGTACGTGCGGCCGTGAGGGTGTCGGGGCCGGCCGGGCTCCCGTGCAGGGTACAGGCAGTGAGTGGGGCTTTGCCTGCCTCCGCACAGCACGGGGGCTAAAGAAAAGGGACAGTCGCCGGTTGAGTTAGTTTCTAAAGCGAGGAAAGATCCCCGTCCTTCAGGTCTCCCCTTACGCTTTCCTAGTTCTAGCTCCTGACCCGCTTTCCTAGCTCCGGTTCCTGAGCTCCTGGCCCGAGAGGTGGAGCGGTGTTGCAACGCTCCCATCACGCTGTTGCTGCGCTGGAGCCACGCAGGCCCGCTGCTGCCTGTTGCCGGCAGGGCGCACAGCTCCGTGCGGAGCCCGCTGCCCTCTGCTGAGGGGTTGCTCGGGCATGTCGGGCTCACCTGGCTACCTTGCTGATACCACGAAGGGAGTCAGTACAGTGCTGGCAGAGCTGGACGGGGCCACGTCTGCTCCCGTTCACACCAGGTTTGCTCCAAAGCTCTCATTTGTGTGCAGTCAGATGACAGTAACTCCATGATAGAGCCCTGTGAAGGTAGGAAAGAAAGACTATGAGGAGATTCAGCAGCGCACACATGGCAGCTTTCCTGCGCCCAGGTGGGAAGAGCTTTCTTGAGCAAAAGGTGCTGTGGCCATCGGCTCACCTTATAGGATCATAGAATGGCCTGGGTTGAAAAGGACCACAATGATCATTTAGTTTCAACCCCCTTCTACGTGCAGGGTCACCAACCATTAGACCAGGCTGCCCAGAACCACACCTCCTCATGTTTGACTGCATGCTGCTTTGATCTTTTCTTGTTCTGTTCTTAGCCTGCCCCTTTTGTCTGCCCTTCCTACAGCACCTAAGAAAGAAGTGCTTTGGAATATTGGAAACATTTCCTCTTAAAAGTTTAGTAGTGTCCTTCAGCTGTGTTGTGTATGTATACAGTTTGGGAAGCACAGGTGCTTTCCATACAGCTGTGGGGCCCTGACTGCCTGCTATGGATAGGTGTGTGTGTGTGTGTGTGTGTACACTCCTGGGTGCTCTGCAAAGTTTCCAAGCACATGCTGGCCCGAGCAAAATGATTCTCCCTTAAGTACACGTGCAGTTTTAGTTTAAATATTATAGCATGTTTTGATTGGAATTTGAATAGTGATCCTGAAATTAACCTACCTGTAGCTTGGTGTCTGGTTTCTTTTACTTTGTATGGCATGAGAAATAGCTTTTCAGAGTTGTTGTTTTGTATTTATGCACTACATAATACAGGGTTGGCTGACAGCATTTAACAAACATGTTACAATTGTCACATAGGATGTATTTCGAACATATTAAATTATTTTCAGCCATGAAGCTGCATAGAATCATGAGTCATAGAATCACTCAGGTTGGAAAAAAGTCTAACCATGACCTAACCATTCTACTCTAACTCTAACAACCCTCTGGTTGATTGGTATGGTTGGTTAAGATGTTTGCGGAGCTTGCCTGGTTGGAGGACTTGTTCTAGTGCTGTTATGTACAGACTCTTGTTCTGCCACATCTCCCTGCAGTAGATGGCTTTTTTTTCCTTTTTCTGGCTCTTTCCCTTCCCCCGGTGAGAATAGCATCCTTGGCACCACTTAGAGGCCCAACTCAAGAATGTGAACTGGCTGCAAACCAAGTAGGTGCATTGTGGTGGTGGTTTCTCAGTTTTTCAGTTCTGTTATTACAGTGTGTGTTGTGTTTTGTGTATCTGGTGGTCCCTTATGTCATTATTAAGACTCTCCCTCTCCCCAAATGGCAGCCTGGTGCTGTTCCGTTGGCAAATGTTCCTGCTCCCTGCCTTACCTCAGCATTGCTGGTGTTGTGGCTGCAATGTGAGTTGGACCTACCTTTGCTCTGAGCCCGTTTGTAGTGTTGGTTTCCAGTCGCATCAACAAGCGCAGTTATTACTGCTGATGCAAGAAAAGGGCACGTATCTGAATGCGGCAGTGGGTGAGTAAGAGCAGCTGTGGCACACAGCTCACCTTTGCCCAATGACAAACTCCTCCTGCACAGCTCAGCACTGGGGCCTTGCACAGCTGACACATGCTTCATAGCCCTGGCCTTAGGCTGGGTGCTAAGCCAGCCCTCCTGGAGTCCCAAAGCTAGCATTTCTGTAGGCCTTTTGTCTGTATGTTTCCATGTCCAATGGCTGTGGGCACTGTGAATTTGTTCACCACCATAGGTAAGGGGTTTGCTAACTTCCAGCTCTGTGCAAGGTGGATGCTGTACAATACAATGACTTCTTGCTGTAGGTTATCCCGAAATCTGTGTTTGTTTTGGTACAACCATCCTGGTTATGGCTTTTGCCTTAAGTGATTGTTACTGAATCTGGACCGTCCCAGAATGGCTCAAAACAAAATAGGCAAATATATTACAAGTGTACTTAAAAAGCAACAGACTATTGAAGTGTATCCTTCAAGCTGATTTTTATAATGACTTTGAGACCTCAGTTGTACCTCAGTCAGTACAGGAAGCACACTGTCTCCGGTCTTAAAACAGAGACCATTTCATAGGCTGGTCTGAAATCTCTGACTTTATTTTCAGTTCTCCTTAGAATTTATGTGTTGGGAAGCACTTCAGAAATTGAGGTAGCTCAGCAACGTGAGTGTGAGTTAAGTACACTCCTTCATCAGTTGACTTACTGAAATGTAACTATCTGTTGCATAACATGATGGAACTGACAGTTCTTAAAGAAACCAGGTGTTATTCCTACTTGCATCGCAATCCTTAAAGATATGGTTTTATCTCTGTGAGTCATTTTCATGACAGTCTGGTTCAGAGCTGATAGAAACTTGGGCCACTGAAGACAGAGAGCTGTACTGCTCTGTGACAGCTGCCTTCCAAGCTGATGCAATCAACTTTTTTCAGACACTAAAATTAAGAAGAGCTTATAATCGTACTGAGGAATCTTTAGGGATGTCACCAACAGAACTTTTCTAATCATGGGATTATTTTTTAACCACATTTTTAACCACACTGAGCCAATGCTCAGGATTCTCTTTTCCCATTTCTGTTCTCGGGAATTTCTGCCAGACCACTGCTCAGGGTCTGCTTTGCTCTCCTGTGATAGAAGCAGGGCTATTGTGCTAGCTTTGGTCTCCATCAGAAACCGCTTCTAATTCAGTCATCTCCCTCCTTTTGCCCTGGGAAGGAATAGCTTGAAAACAAACTATTTAAAATGAAGGTGAAGCTGGCTTTTTTTAAGGAACTCATTCTTCTTTTTTTTCCCCCCAACTTCCTGTATATCATTCTTCCCCCTGTGCTTACTTCAGGGACTCTCTCTAGCTCCTCCTTTTATCACTCATTTTCTATAGCTTTTCTCTCATTTCTTCTCTCTGCTTATGTCAGTGAATGACCCCATTTCCATGTGCAATTGTGGGATCCAGATACGCTTCCTGCACTCCTTCCTTTCCTGTAGTTTGGCAGGGTATGTAAGAAAAATTCTCTACTTAGTCACACTAATGGAGTTCCTAGCAGGGAGAGTTGTTGTGGTTTTTTCTTTTCCCCTCACCTTGGTTTTGAAGAATAAGGTTGCAGAATGAAACTCCATCAGTTTAGGTGAAAAAACTTGTCCCTGTGGAGTTCATTTCTTAATAGAAACTTACTGGGCTTCTCAAGATGCCCAGTAAGTGGGTGCTTTTCCTGTGGAATTAGTCCTTTGCAGCCTTTACAACTCCCACTGAAAAAACATTGATCAACTAATGAAGTATTTCTGTACAGGAAGAGGTGTATGCATGTAACATTAAGTAGGAGTAACTGTGTAACTGTTCCTGTTTAAATTTGCAATCTTCCTTGCATTTGAAAATTGATTCATACCAGATAATTTTTTTTGTTCTCTCTTTCCTTGACCAAAGAGGCACAGATGTCAGAATAACCAAAGTAGGACTTGAGGGCTGTGTATACAAAGTATATGAGGTATAGAAGCAGATACCTCTTGTAGCTTTGGCTGAGTGTTAGGAATCTAATGTGGTGGGAAAGTCTTAGCTTTGGCTATGATGTAATTTTGGACACGTCAACTCTTTAACCAGTCTTGTTGCAGACAGCCAAATGGTTGGTTCAGCAGCACACAAGTAATACATAGTACACATGGGAACAACTGGCAGAGTCTTAGGCTTAGTGGTATGCTTTCTTCAAGCTCAGGCAGATTGTGCAGCTTCTCTGTATAAAATCAGGGTTGTATGAAATCGTTGTGTTGACACACGCATTAAGGTTGAATTAAGTTCCGATCGCTGCAAGGATGTTAGAATGACCCATAATGCAGCTATGAGAAGAAATCATGCATAAGTCAAGTTAATGATCTTTATTTTCTTTAAGGTATGTTTTGACTGTGGATCGAAAAACCCTAGCTGGGCAAGCATAACATATGGAGTCTTTCTTTGTATTGATTGTTCAGGGACGCACCGATCACTTGGCGTGCACTTGACTTTCATTCGGTAAGTGGTTGCTATCTTTCTACAACAACAATAGGAAGATTTATATTCTAGCTTCTAATGTTTGTTATTTTTTCCTTTGGATGCCTGATCAGAGAGAGGAGCCCATTCTTTTCTTCTCCTTCAAACGTTTTTAATGTTTGTATTGGCTTTGTTTTAACTGATGGCTACTTGGGAACTAGGTAAATAGGTAGGGTTCAATACCATGCACACTTTCCCATTACCTGCTTATTATGTCAGTAGCACACCTTTGTTGACAGATTTGTTTCTGCACTGAAGATGATGAAAACAAAGAAGGGAGTAAGCATTTTGAAGTGCTTTATCATTGTCTCCAAATCAAGACTGAGGCAGATAGCACTTTATTCTCTTCAGCAGTGTGACAGTGTGTTGATCATAATGATAATCTGATGCCCTCGCAAGCCAGCTAAGAGACCTACATAGCCTTTTTTTTGCCTGTTTTGCTTCCTGAAGTAGTTCATTATGTTGCCATAGTGCTCGTACCGGGGGGAGGACGAGAGAGTTTTTGTGTAAAGTGCTACCCCCTTTGGTGGCTCAGCCAGTGGTTGCTGTTTTACTGAGGTTTTCTGATTTCAGGTGAGTACCCTCACCTGAGTTATATCTGGTAGGCATTTGAAATATTTGAAATGGAAGATACTGTTTGAAGCACATGAGAACAATGCATTTAAGAATGGATTGCACTTAAAAGCAAGCGTTTTCCCTCAGCTAAAATCAGTATTCTTTCTCTGTTGCTTTGTCACCATATATAAGAATGTTACAAAAGGTCTTTCAAGAATCCATTCCTGATGATCATAGTACTATAATGATTAGAATTCTTCTAATAAAATTACAGAATCACAGAATTGCTCAGGTTGGAAAAGACCTTGAAGATCATCAAGTCCAACCACAACCTAACCATGCTATCCTAACTCTAACAACCCTCCACTAAATCATGTCCCTGAGCAAATAGTCACTACCTCACACTTCCCTAAAAAATAATTGGTGTGAGAGACTCTTTACATTGAAAAAGGTAGATTTTAAATGGCTGTGGAGATAACACTAAACATGTTTCCCTTTCTTCAGATCTACAGAACTGGATTCCAGTTGGTCTTGGTTTCAACTGAGGTGCATGCAAGTTGGAGGAAATGCAAATGCTGTATGTATCCTGTGCATTGTTAGACTTGGAAACTACTGTTGATACATTGTCAATACATCTAATTTAACAGTGAAACATCGATAACTGCTGAAAGATGGCTTTCCATCTGCTTGTAAACCTAGTTAACAAGTGTTTTCCTGTACTGTATAAGCCCCATAAGGCTGTATTTCCTTATGGGGCTTATAATGATGCCGTGCCAAAGACCATGTCAATGTTGAAAGTCTCTCATAAATCAAGGTATGACTTTGGTACAGTTGAAATCAAGATAAGGCACACAACACTGTCAGAGAGGAAGTAGCAGTGTTTTTGTTTTGGCCAATTCATATTAGCTGTTACTTTTGGTTTCATTTTTCATGCACTTAGAAATAAGTTTATTTCACAATATTTTTGTAAGTTAAAGTTATGCCAACTGCTGCGTTTTTCTCAAAAAGAGAGTTCTAGTTTTTTTCTATTTCCTTGCAAAGAACAGTGAAGTGAGGATAATTATTATTAATCTTCCACTTCTGCATTTTCCAGTCTTTAAATTCTTTAAATTTGGTACTTGGCAAGTGACTGTTTCTGGTGTGCAGATCTGAACAGCTGTGCAGCTTCCTCTGAAATGAAGTGGTGTTTTCACCCTCCTTTTCTCTCTCTCTCCTTTCTTAAGTTATACTTTTTTTTTATACTGCAGATATATGAATTTAATTGTCAAGTTTCTTTTATATCACCTGGTACATAAACATCATAGTTTTGACTAATCAGAAGAGGGATTTTTTTTAGCCAAAGATTTTGAGGCAATTGGAAAAAAGAGTGCTGAGTTAGAAAAAGAACTGCAGTTAATTTCAGAAAGCACATTCCCAGAGGATTAACAGTAAACATCATTTAATGTTATGTGGTTTCTTCTTCATTCTGCTTGGATGTCACTGTTTCCTATCACGCATTGTACCAAGAGGCCAAATAGAAGCACATTCACTCTTTATATACCTCAAATTCATAATGGCCTGTTTTGGATTTCCTGAGAAATAAAGATAAATGGCTGAAAATTTAAAGACCAGTTTAGTGAACTACCTGAACATTTAAAAAGTAAAGTTGAAATTTTCGCTTTAATTTAGTTAAAAAACCAGTTTCTTTTTTTGTTCCAGTTAAGTCAAATTCTATTTTTACTAACTACTGCTTAGAAGTACTGCCAGATTAACATCTGCTATTTGTATTTTATAATTGCCTGATGACACTGAATCTTGGATAGCAGCAGTTGTGAACTTCCTAACTATTTCCTAGCTCTCTTTGAGGTTGCTAGGAAATGTGGTGTTGCAAGTTCCTTTCGTCTTCAGAATAAATATCTTCAGCGATACAAAGAAAAGCTCTGAAAGTCAACTTCAGAAGTGTAAATGAATTTATAAGCGGAAATACACAATCTTTGTGGCAGGGTGACATCTACAACTGTTTTTATTGTAGTTACAGAAGTTGGCTGGCTTAATTTTTTACAGAGTGTGCTATTTGTGTACTGGTTTTACATTTGACATTATAACCTTCAGTTATCTGGATTTGCTGACCCTATCAGAAACTTGTTTACTGTGTTTTACTGTAATGGTCTGATACGTTCTTTTGTGCAAGAACATATGATGTAATTTGCTAGTTAGTTCTAGGTTCTAAAAAAACATACCTAGCTTTTCCATGTTTTGATCTTGCAAACAAAATTTGTATTTGTATGCAAATAAGCACATAAAAAGAGAGTGCGTATCTATAGGTACATACACAGAAATGTGGAGGTTTGGGGGGGGTTCTTTTTTTTCCTTTTTCTTTTTTTTTAAGGAAGATTACTTCTTTATATTCATTTTGATGCTATTGAATCATAGCATCATAGAATGACTTGGCTTGGAAGAAATGCTTATCCAGTTCCAGGCCCCTGCTGCAGGCAAGGCTGCTCCCCACCAACTGAGGCTGCCCAGGGCCCCACCTCAGCTGGCCCTGAATGCCTCCAGGGATGGGGCAGCACAGCTTCTGCAGGCACTTGTGCCAGGGCCTCACTGCCCTCTGACTAAAGAATTTCCTCCTAACATCTCACCTAAATCTACCCTTTTAGTTTAAAGCCAGTCCCCCTTGTCCTGTCGCTGTCTGCCCATGTAAAACATGTTGAACATGCATTGCTCTCCCTAGCATGTTTGACATGAAGCCAAGCAATGCCTTTTAGAATATCAGAAACATCTTTTGAAGCACAGCTGTTGGCAGTCAGTTACCTCTTCCTTTCTTCAGTTGTTAGATTCGGAGGTAGGAATCATTCTATATGATTGGAATTGTGTATAATTCTAGAACATCCCAATAATGCTTTTGGTTTTTGTTGTTTTATGTGTTCATATGTTGCCATAATGGAGTTTTCTTCTTATTTTGGAGATTTACATAGACTGCATAGTTTAGAAGATTTAGAAAGTGCCGTTTGTTTTGAAATTTATTTCTTATAGCATTTTATATGTTTTGCTTGATAGTCTGCTTTTTTTCATCAACATGGATGCACAACAAATGACACCAATGCAAAGTATAACAGTCGAGCTGCTCAGCTTTACAAGGAGAAGATTAAATCTCTTGCAACACAAGCAACAAGAAAGCATGGTACTGATGTAAGTAATGTATGTCTTTTGTCGTTTAGATTTCTGAAACACTTCCCGTTCCTTAACCACTAGAGTCATTTAAAGTTTCTAATTTACACTGTGAAAGATAATTATTTTGGAGGTACTGCTACACATTGTTTTGAGGAGGCAAGAAGTGGAGTAAATAATTTGCGGTAGATATTGAGGGTAGAGCTCAACCTGGTATTTCAGAATCACTTCTGGGTTACTCAAATGTTAATTGTATCATTTAGAGTAACTTCCAAGAATTGTAGGTGGAAACTTCAGGTATTCTTCAAAATGGGAACTACTTTGTTTCACAGATGTACTGCAAAATTGCACTGCTGCGCAATAAATATCACAGCTCTTCTCCATTAGTTATGTATTGTGATTACCTTTGCTGTTCTGGAACTGAATTATTACTTAGAAGTACAGCATAGTAAAAACATAGAAGTGCCAATAGCTATCGATAAGATAGTTGTGATTTTTACAGGGTTTTGATTTGAATAGGTACATTTTTCTACAAAAATTATACTTGAAAAATTCACAAATGATGTGTCTTGAGCGTAGTGTTCTGTTAAAAGTGCTGATGCAGTTCAAGCATGCTGTCAAAGCCTTGAAGTTAGATTGCTGACAGGAAGAAGTTGTTAGTGAACTATGCAGCATATGAGTTTGCTGAGGTGTTAAGTAAGTTTGACACAACAGTTCTGTTTTGTGTACACAGAATGAATGCTTTGATTGTTTAATTCAGTGTGTTCAAGTCCATGACTAATTCATTTGAAGTTGATCAGATGAGTGGGAATTAAAAAAAGAAAAAGAAAAAAAAGAAAAAAAAGAAATGAAACAAAACACAATACAGTTTTCTTGCTTTTTTTCTTTTTTTCCTAGTTTCTGCATAATACAGCATCAAATTTAGTGAGTTATAATAATTCTATGTTATGGATATTGTATTTAACATGGTTTATATCACTAATTTCAGAGAATTTTTTTACTTAATAGCTTTAGATATAAAACAAATGTAAGTAAACTTAATATACTATTTGCGTATAAGTTGGCACAAAGCTTCCCAAGTGACACTTTAAAGAACTGTGGTTGTCTTCAGTTACAGATTTCATCCAAAAATTTGGTATTAATAATTTATTTCTTACATTACAAAAATAGTAAATATATTTCTGAATATACTACAAGCTTAAGTGATGATATGCTATCTATTTTGAAGTGTCATTCAGTAATTAGTCTTTGTACTGGTCCCATTAAAAAAAAATCACTAATTTACTGGTTCAGTTGATTATTTAATGATGAGGTAAGCTTGTTGTGTATTTCATAACCTTTTTGAATATGGTCACTATTTTCAGTATGATGTCTTTTGCATGTATTAGGAAGAACCTTCTAAACTTGGAATGTAGAACACAAGTTCAAGTATTGTCTTGCAGGGTTCCAAGAATGACCTGAGGCACTTAGGGTTCTGCAGCCTACCCTGAGAACTGTTAGCATCTTGCAGAAGCTTTCTGCAAGTGTAGTAGAGGTTTTGGAGCTCTAGACCAAGTGGGATAATTCATCAAAGTACCAGACCATGGTATTTTCTTAGAGGTTTTTTTATTCTTACATGAGTATATAAAAAAAACTTGATTCTAAAGCTCTAGTGATATTAAATATTGATAATATTACTGCAGCAGAGCTTATATTGAGTATTTGGCTAGGAAGAAAATGGTTACTGGGAAGGAAGATATCACAGCCATGGAATCTAGACAAGGAATGCAATATACTCAAATAAATTTGCAAGGGTGAAATACTTAGGAAAAAAAAAATCACTAAATTTTTAACCTGATAAAAACATAGTTTTAAGATAAGTGCATTTTTCAGAATACATTAATGCATTTGTCTTGTAAAATTAATAATCTCCTTCTCCTCCTTCTTTACCTTGATCCTCTCTCTAAACACTTGTAGCTGTGGATAGATGGATGTGGAATGCCACCTGCATCACCTCAACACAAAGAAGAGGACTTTTTTGCGTCCCATGCTTCTTCCAAGGTATAGGTTGACTCTACTTAATTCTTTGCTTTCTAAACATATTAGGATAACTGTGTGTTCTGTTATGAAGGTTAAACCCTGAAAGAAAATCTTAGACAGTTGGTTGTTGAATTAAACTCGTTCATCTTCTCATCCTTCTGTGAGTCTCAAAATTCTTCCTGAATGTGAATGACTTTCTAAAATGATAATTCAGAATTACCCAAATAATAGCTAAATGTGGAATGAAACTGTTTTTCCTAGGCACACAATTCCACTTGGACTCATAACTGAGCCATTTGGCTTGAGAGTGCCCTGATTTAAATTTACTAAGTGAAAACTTCTGTTTATAACCAAGAAAATGTAATAGTTCCTAAAACATTGGCAAAGCAGGTACTTTTTTCTTTCCTGCAGAATTACATCTGCTTTGGAAAAAATTAAAATAACTTCAGGCTATTGCTGCTGTTGGTTTTTATGTGTTTGATCTTAGTTCTGCTCTGCTTTCCCAGTACTATTTGGTGATAGATGCTGTGTATGTTTTGGAGAGCAATGTTTCACAGGCTCTCTTGACTCTGATATTTGAAAAATACCCATGAAAGCAATTGTGATCTTAAACTTCGAATAATTAAGTTACTGCTACGCTAATATTCCTAAATATTGCAACAATATTGAATGTTCTGGCAGTAGTGTTTTCTAGTACATTTGCTGTCTGTGAACACCTAAACCTTTTTGTTATAATCTAGAATTTCACCAGAAGATGGTCTGTTCTGACAGTAGAAAAATAATTAGAGTATTTCTGTTTCCAAAAGGAACATGGAATAACTCTTTTAAGGAAAAGCATAAGCTGAAGCAAGCTAGGGAGAAGGAGGGTTAAGCAGAGAACTGTTGTAAATATTTTTAGGCTGAGGACAAGAAGTAGGAACTTGATGCAAACCCTCTTGAGAGAATTTATGGGTCAGGTACAGTAATTTTCAGAGCAGAATTTTTGGATAGCTGAAAAGATAGGAGTTCAGAGACAATTAGTTTGTGTGCCTCAGGGCAAGAGATTCCTAGAGTATGGTATTTTGAGAGGGAAATGACAGGAAGCTTTGAGGTTGAGGTTTTAAAGAAAAGCAAGCATGAACTGGCACAGGGCTTGTAGGGAGAAAAAGGTAATATTAAGCAGGTATTATTGTGTCCAGGCCTCAGGCCTGCCTGGTGAGAAGGATATGTCTGAGCAAAGCAAAGGGACTCATCGACGACTTTGGAGTACTGCTTGTAGTCAAGAAGTAAATGTTAGAAAATGAGAAGTATGAGAGCCTAGTGTAGGGAGAAGGGTTGGTTATTATATGTAAATAAATTATTCAGATCTCGTGTACTGTATAAATGTTAAGAGTAAAAAAATAAATAAAAGCGAATAGCCAGCATATAGTGATGAAATCTAGAACGTAATTAAAATGCATGTTGTTGTTTTGGGTGGCAAACACTGAAGTTTCCTGAAAGGTGGATACAGATGCTCAGCAGAGCTTTGAAAACAGCTCGCTTTTTAATAAAGGTAGGCATTTCTTTTAATAGGTTTTAAAACTAGAAGCTGTAGTCATAAGAATTCAATATTAACTCATCAGTGGTTTTTGAGTACAGTGCTTATATTTATTTGATGGATTCCATTTTGTGTGCACTTCTGATTTTTTATTTTTTTTTTAAATTCAATATGAAGAATACAGAATGGGTATTATCAGAGCCAGAACCAGTTCCTCTACAACAGAAAGCTTCAGAAAACATCCCAGAAAGCTATGAAGGTATGACTGGTTCTTTGTTAACAAAAAACTGTGCATTTTCTGATAGTTTCTTTGTTTAGACTCTCTTTACCCTGCTTCAGTAGTTAAATCATCTACCTTTGCTAATAACTTCAGAATTTTGGGAAAGATTGTGTTTCTAGAAGGGTTGTGCTAGAATGTGGGGTGTTGCACGTTCCTTTAATAATGTTTAGTAGAAATCCAACCTAAAGTCTGGCTCAGAAGATTTCAGATGAATCTTTGGGTGACTGTTAGCAGCTGGTAAAACTGTAACAGAAATAACACATTACGGTGTCTGTATCAAACAGGACTCTGAGGATGGTGAGTTGTGTTTTTGGTATTTAAACATTCTGATGAACCTTCTGGTATTCTTACCCTTGCTATACATTGTATTTTCAGGTGGACCAGAACATGGACCAAGTGTTGATTGCCTTAGTACATCACCAAAAGCCACATTAGGTAATGAGCATAAGCAGAAGACAGCAACCAGTATAGTGTACCTCTCTATGAGTTTTTACTCAGAATGTGTGACTGGGAAATGATGTGAAAGTCTTACTTCAATATTCTGTGCATGAGTTACTTTGAAACATCAGAATTTGTTTTACAACATCTCTTAAACACTGTATTCCATTAAAGAAATCAGTTTTAGTCAACGGTGTTCTGGTTTTATCTATGTTATCCTAGCTGAATTGGTGAGTTTAAATGCACCTAATAATGGTGACCGATAGTGCTGTAAGTGTGTTAGCCTTCTTCTAGTTCTGCATCTATACACAGGTGGAGCACTGTGCTGTGAATAATGGCCTCCTTTTTGTTTGTTTGTTTGTTTGTTTAAGCAAGAACTTTATGTAAAGCAAGACTACATATTGTAGGTCTTCTTTCTGCCTAGACGTAGATTTGCTCCCTTTTCAGAAAACAAAACATAATTAGGCAGGAAAAATCTTGTATTTGTAATGTGAAATCTTCAGTGTCTAGAATCTAAATTTGCATAACGTAAGGAATATGTCTTTGTATAAGTTAAGAAGTTGAGGAAAACAGAATAGAATTTAAATACATAGGTGGCGTATCTTTTAGGATCACTTTGCAGGAGCAGGAGTATTGGTTTTTCAGCAGCACAGTGTTAGTAGAGAAGTATAGCTTGGTCTAGCTTAGTGCTTCAAGATGGCATGATTGCTGGTTTTGCATTCACTTTTTTTTAATGAGATGGAGACTAGAGAGTAGGAGAAATAGTTATCTACATGTGCTACCTGTTTTTTCTAATTTTTATCTATAACGCAGGTTTTCACAAAACAGGTGCTTTTCTTACTTGTTTTGGACAAGGCAAGTTCTATCTTACATGAAGAATCTCTGTTCTGTGTATTCTTGTTTAGTCTATTTCCGACTACATTTCAACTCAAGTTTTTCCTATTTGTATAAGCATTTAGTAGGAGTTGTTTGGAAACTGTAGTTAATTCAAGTGGCCTCATTAAAATACCAGGATCAGGAGTTGCATAAGACTTCATGAAGAGCAGGGTGTAAATACATTTGTTTTGTATGTTTCAAAGTTTAATATAAAGCATTAAGTCTGGAACTTTCAAACTTTATATGTGAATTTAGATTCCTAGTAGTGTACTTAGGCAATTGAGCAAAACTCTTCAGTTCAGTGGTAGAGTATGTTGTCACCTCTGGTGATGTTTGTGATTTAGTTGGTGGATTTATGATGATACTGATTTATTTTATCTTTATCACTGGTTGTTTTAAAAGTAGATAGTGCCTTTCTATCTAGTGAAAATTTGTCCTGGAAGTGGTTTGAGATCAGGTAAACCTCTAGTATGATTCAGAATGGCAAGTCCGTGTACTAGTAGGTATCCACAACCAAAAACTGAACTGTAATTTTATTCTTCTTAAGAATAGGCAAGAGATACCATATCCTCAATCAGAGGCTCTTTCTCACATTTTCTTGCTAATAGTTAGCACTCAGTTCACTGTTATGCAATTTAGTTTCTGAATCTCTTCATGAACAATCTGTAGTACTTTATGACAGTAAATTCGAAAACATATTTTGAGGCTGAAATTGTAGAAATTATCTTTTGCAGTTCTGAAATTAATAAAAGTGTATGTTGAGTAATGTGCATTTCATCATTGCAGAGAACACCACCTTTATAAAAAAGAAGCCAAATCAGGTTAAGAAAGGGGTGAGTCTATATAATTAACGTTTTTTTTTTTTCCTCTGCATTACAGACCTGTGGAAATAGTAAATTACAATTTGGAAATGTATTATGTGAGTTAATACTAAACAGAACATATACCACTAACAATTTATGATACTAAAATGCAATAGAAAACCTGTTCTACATCAAAACAACTAACGATCCATTTCAAAATTAATAGGTCCCTTCCAACTGAAATGATTTTCTGATTGTTAAGATGAATTTGTCTGACAAACTACTGATTAATGATTTTCTGTAGCCGAGTACTTAAGATGGGTTGTTTTCTGATTTCAGATAAATTCTGAGTGCATTTGCATATTTGCAGCTTACTGCGCTGTCTAGACTTTTACACCTGCTGTCTTTTAAAAAATAAGTAAAATAAAAATGTCAAAGCCTGTATTGATACATAGCCTTCATTCACAGCTGTTGTGCCTGCAACTTCATCCCTTAATGTGCCCTGTAACCTTTCTTCTTTCTTGTCAGATATGTTGACTCTGGATTGGTCTTTCAGCTATATAAGTTGACATTTGAGTTCTTTTTGTAGCAAATCCTGAATACAGAGGCATTTCCAATAGCTCTTTTAAGTGGCTAAATATGCATGTATGGCTTAATGTGTCAGTATAAGGTGAGCTTGAGACATTCAGGTTTTTATTTGTGTAGCAGTTCTCATCTAACATCACACTGCAGTATGGCACTTTGTTGTATTTATAGATAACTTGCAGTTGCATTCAATTGAAGATAGTTTCAAGATACTTTAGAGACTTGTTTATGGATTGGATCCCAACACTTTCTTAGGCATCTGGCTTTTGTATGGAAGACATGAGGAGCTGAGTGATTGTTCAAGGAACTGAAAACTGAGCCAGATATTTCAGAGTTGACTCAATGTATTTAGGAAAAGCTAAAGTTTTGGGAGTATAGCTCACAATTCCCAATAAAATAGCCCTTATATTAAGCAACAAGGATGTCATGTTACAGGGAGTCACTACATTTAGGTTTGGCTAATGTACTTTTCCATACATTACTTCCATTGTATTAAATGATTGAAAAGATTGAAACATACTATTCGTTGCTCCCACTAGAGGGCCCCAGTATACAAGAGGAATTTCATATTTATTCCAAGTGGCTGATGTAGCTATGTTCTCCTAGAGATAAAAGAATGTAATTGGGTTCACAGGTGCATGTGAAGAGCCTAAAACTTTACAATTCTGTGTGTACATGGGCCAGAGCTCTTAGATGAAGACTTCATGGTGTTAATAGGTTAAGATAGGTATATTGGGAAAATTAATATTGCTGTAGTGTTGCAGATGAAGCATTGAACACATGGGAGACTGAGAGCAGCAGTTTGAGTGTTTTGCTGTTTCTGAATCTACATCATTTTGTCTATTCATATTGGTAGTAGTCAATGTTTTTTAAATAATTGATAAGCAGAATGAAAGGATTTGTATTCATGTTTTGAAGTAATGAGCTAGAAATAGATTTATTTTAAAAGAACCATTGCAAAACTCTTTAACTGACATGTCTACCTTAAAAGAAACAAAAACAAAAACGTGCTGTGCTTTGTTATATGCAAATACTAATTGTGCGTATAACTTTTGCATATAATTTGCATATAATTTTGTACACACTAGTATACAAAACTTGTGTATTCCTGTCTTATGGTATATGGTTAAATACTTATGTATAATTTTATTAAAAATATGAATAAATCAGTCCTTACTATTAAGATAACACACTGGCCAGTGAGAGCTATTTCAAAAATCTTAGTCACTTCTATAACTTCTGTAATTATGAATTAAGTGAATGAGCATCAAATCGTTCAATTGCAACAAAGTTGATTATGCTGCATAACAATAATATAATAATTACTGACGTTGCACTGTATATTCCCTAACAGAGTGTAGTATTTCCTGTTGCTTTCAAAATTGATTCTTCAGTATTTTCTCAGTTCATGAGAACTTTTGGGTCATGGGTCTTTTTTATTTTTATTTTTTTAATGAATCAAGCTTGGTGCCAAAAAAGGCGGTTTGGGAGCACAGAAAGTCAGCAGCCAAAGCTTTAATGAGATTGAAAAACAAGCACAAGCTGTAGATAAAATGAAGGAACAAGAGGATCTTCATAGCAGTAAGAAAATAGAAATGGAAGAGCCACTGTAAGTATGAGTTCAACGGTAAAACACAGTGCCTGATTTGTTGTTAATGAATTAACTGTTAGCATTTTAAATGCTACCAAAGGACTACTTTTGCAAATAGAACTTCAGATCTTAACTTAATAAAAATCCCCAAATGTGAATGGGGTGTGTCAAAAAGTAATTGCTCCATTGCCCATGTTACCGGATGAGACTCTCACCTCTTGAACTTTCTTTATCCAGTACTACTTATGTAGTTCATTTTGGTAGTTATGTAATTCATTTTGGATTGGTGTAATGAACTGTATAAACATTGTAACTGACTCACTGATTGCTTAGGAATCATACAGGTACTCTGTATTATTTATGCATGTATTGGGTAAGAGTTTCTCTGTTGAAAGCGGCAGGTTGGTTATGTATGGCTAGAATTGCCTGCTTGAGTTTCAGCTGTTTTATACAGAAGCTGCCTTCATTTTCATAAAAACTTGTTTTTTGTCAGAGGCTCCAACTCTGCTAGTCCATCCTAGTAAATAGACTGCAGCTTTTAATCTGAGCATTACATCTCATAAGAACTAGGATGCTTCGTTTTAATAAACTATTGAGGAGTTTTTTGTATACAATTGCAATTACAAAATTAGAAGATTACTTGTAATTCATGATACCAAGCTCTTCGGCCTACAATCTGCTTCAGGGTATTTTTGCATACTTCTTACATGGCCTCTGCAAAATTGATGTTTTGTGTTCATCAAAAGCATTAATCACAAGGGGATCGTTTGTTTTTTCCGAGTATTCTTACCACAAAAATCACATTCTTCATCAACTGCCAAAAATTACCAGTAAACTGAATTGGAAGAACGTGCTGCTAAATAAAAAAGAAAAATGGCTGTTCTGCCCAGAGAGGTTGTGGATGCCCCATCCCTGGAGGTGTTCAAGGCCAGATTGGATGGGGCCCTGGGCAGCCTGGTCTAGTATTAGATGAGGAGGTTGGTGGCCCTGCGTGTGGCAGGGAGGTTGGAGATTCATGATTCTTGAGGTCCCTTCCAACCCTGGCCATTCTGTGATTATTAATTATTAGTATTCTTTAATGATAATCTTTTAAATGATATTATTCAGTTTGGAAGAAATTCACAGTAGAGATTCTGTTTTTATGTCAGCAACATTTGTCAGTACCTGATATGTATAGATTTACTGCAATATTTCTAGACTAGCTAGGACCCTCTAGGAATGTTTGTAAATGCAAGGGATGCACATAGACCTGGGTTTATGTATCCAGTCTCAGCAGAGGCAAGGTAACATTCACTACAGATTAACTTTTTGGGTTTTTAACTGTAGATGGCAGTGTATATCACAATTAAAGAATGAATAGTTTTAAAGTTGTGCATGCCTCCAGCTAATTTGTGTGGTTTTCATTTTAAAATCTAGAATAATGAGCTTTAGTAAATTAATTAATTGTGACTTTGTTACATGTTTGGAAATTATACTTTTGATGCTTTCTTTTTAGAAAGAGACCTAAGATTTGAAACTGAAGAGGTAATTTTATAATTGGTACACAGTTTTCTGCTGTGCAGTGACGAAATAACAGACTAGTAGAGTTATCATAAAACTAATACGTATAATGATGATTTTTAATCTGCAGAAAATAAGAGTTTTTTTTATGTTCATTAAATAGATTTCATGAAACAGTCCGCTATCTTTTTACTTAAGTAAAGTGCTGAGTAGATTTCTTTCAGTATCAATATTAAGCTGAACTTCAGAAAACATTTTCCATTTTCTTTATAATGGTTGGTTCTAAAGAGTAAGAATTGATTAAAAACTTTCCTGGATATATTCTGTAGTTTGGTGATAAGTTTTTCTGCTTTTACTGATTTCAAAAATCATTCAACAGATGACTGACATTTATTGTTGTCAGCATCTGAACATAAGACATAATGCATTTTAGTTCTGGATTAAAGCCTTCTGAAGGACCAATCAAAGGATATCCAGTCATCACAAGTACAGGTACACAACCTCTGTCTTGCAGTAGGCTGCACTGTCCAGCAAGGTATGATCTTTGTCAGAGGCATCTCGTACTTCTGTTTAAAGTTAAGTAAGGACACATGGGGCCTGATGAAGAGCAAGACCAGAAGAGTCCATTTCAATAATCAAATGGCTTTTCTTTTCATTCCTGCTTCTGTATAAAATGGATGGAAATTTACAAGGGAAATGTATTGTTTTCAGACTTAGATATTTCCCTTCTCCTTGCAACAGGAAGTCTTCAGGTATCTACAAGTAACATCTAATTCCCATTTACTTTTCTTATAGCGTTCATTTGTACTGTATGACAGACACAACCTGTGAATTAGATATTGTTGTGCTCCTCATTAAAATTACTCTTTGTATCCCTTTTAAACTAACAAATTAAATTTAAGCAGTGTTCCTACAGTTTTATAATCATGATTTAAAAACTTTACCTCCACATTGATACTACTGGGAAATAATTAATACTGTTTTGGAGCTTAGAAGGGCCTGTGGCATCTCAGAGCAGTTACTGAATTTGAATTACAAGGATGTTTCAGGTGATAAAATGTGTTGCTTGTCATGCAGTAAATAAGTTTTGGATGCTCCAGAGATTCCATACTAGAGAATATATTTGATGTTGCAGCTACAAAGATTCTCTTCTCTTCTTCTGAGATTCTTTTTTTTGGGACAGAGAAGAGGAGCATCAACAGAGAGGAAATGTAGTCTATCTCTACTAAAAGTTCCTCAAGTATATATAGCAGGTGTTAAAACCATTAGGAGCATGTAGGAAGATACAGCAGGGTCAAGGAGTGCACTTAGGGGAACACATTACTACTGTTGCATTGTGGATACTGTAATGTATCAGATTTGGGTAATTTTGGCCATTATTGGGAAGCATGTACAACTATGACAGTGGTTGACTTGATGGTAGAGCAAAACTGTACCCTGAACTTTAACAGTAGAAATTTTTACTTATCTTTACTAATCTTTTGAAGGAGAAAAAAAACCCAGTAACAACAAAAGACTCAAACATACTCAAAGTAGAGTACTGTTTAAACAATATTCTCTACCACACTTCTCCCACTCTTTAAAGTTGGAATGTGATCTTGTTAATAATGAATATTTTCAGTAAACACAGAAAACAAGATATAGCTGTATAATACGTTGTATAATTACTTGTTTTCTATCAATATTACTATTTAAAAATGATTTTACCATAACATTTATGTTATGGTAAATTTATGTATGTTTTGTTCTAGCGTATCATCTTTACGATTGGCCTACAGAGATCTTGATATTAAAACAAAAGAAGAAAAGTTAAATCTATCTGGTAAGAAGAAAAATGAACTAGAGAGGCTTGGCATGGGATTTGGCAGCAACAGAAGGTATGTGAGGTTCTGTACACTGTGTTTAAATAGACTGTGTTTTTAGCAAATAGTCTTGATTTTACTTTTGAAATGGAAAAATATACTGAAGTGTGAAATGTTAAGGAAATGTAATTGACAAAGAATGGAGTATTTGTCAGAGAAAGGGATAGGAGTTTTAATTTTCCAGAGAGATGCTAACTTAAATTGTAGATTGTCTGTAGGATTTTTGAGGTATTTAGCTGTCTGTGATAAGGGTAGCTGGAATGTCTTCGTGAACGCTACAAACCTAAGCATAGCCTACCCGCTACATGCCAAGACACTGAAAAATCATATGGCTCTTTTACAGCTGTTGGAATGCTTTGTGTATTCAGAAGTCTTGTCACTACTTCAGAGAACTATAGCTGAGCTTTCAAAGGCTTTACTTTTTAAATTCCCATTTCTTCTTAAATGTTTGTAGAGATTTTGCAATGACAGCAGGCTTCAGATACAACACGAGGGCTTTCATTATTTATTTATTTATTTTAGGATATAGGCTTTGTCATCTCTTCACATATATATTTTTTTCACTTTCCCCAGTGGCATTTCCCACTCTGTCATCTCAGATATGCAGACAATAGAACAGGAAACACCAACAGTTGCAAAACCAAAGAAAAAGTACATAGATGATGCAGAAGACTCCTATTTCTCTTCTTCTAGTTCAAGGTAATGTATTGGTTTTATGTTTTGAGTGTATGCAAGTTATGTATGCAGTATATTTGAAACAAGATAAAAACAAGATAATTGCACAGATCTACACACCTGTTATATTTTGAGGGAACATCCAAATAGAAAGTTGTAAAATACTTGACCTACTCTCAATAACAAATGTATTTGGAATCAGTATGGTTTGGATTAGAAGGGACCTTAGAGACCATCCAGTTCTGAGCTCCACAGTCTCACTGTGCTCACATCTACTGACCAGTCTCCATAAATGTTCACTAAGTGTTTATGAATGTCAATAGGTGCCATTTTTTCCATATGGAGGAATTTAGTAACACACCTTTGCTTCATACCCACTTCCATGTCAGATGCCATTTTGTTGGACTGCCCCTCTGCTGCTATCTGTCACACAGCAACAAAATGCAATGGAATATTGGTGGGAAGGTACAGCCTCTGCTGCCATTCCACCAGCAGCCACCTCTGACATTGTGAGCCAAAGTCATAAAATACGAGGCATTACTTTCAGAGTAGCCTTTGTAAATATAGAATTTAGTTAATATATATAAGTAACAAAACTTATTTTAATTTTTGATATTTTTATATTAAAACATATAAAAAAGAGCAACAAAAATGTGAAACTAGTGGGATCTTTTACCTTATTTAGAGAAACTATGTTCAATTTGAAAGTCATAGCTAATGTATTTATGTTGACAATTTTAGTTAATGCCATAACTTGAGTTAGCACTGTACTGTGCCCTTGTCATGCCCTTATTTCAGACCAGATAGGGATAATCACTCACTGATGTTCAGTTGGTGCTAAGTGACAGTTGTGCACTTGGGCCAGGTGGGCCACTCAGTGGGGCAGAGCCACCACCACAATGGTGCAGGGCAGAAGGGCGGCTGCATTGTCAGCTGTGTTGGTCCACATACAGACCATGGATTGGACATACTTGATCTAACCTCCTTCTTTTACTTTAAAAGTATTCCCCTTGTTTCGTTGCTGTCAGATTGCATAAAAAGTCAGTCTCCCATCTATTCTTAAAGTTCCTTTTAGGTACTTAAAAGCCACAATGAGGCCTCCCTGGAATGTTCTATTTTTCAAGCTGGACGAGCCCAGTTTCCTCAACCTGTCTTCATGAGAGAGGTGTTCCAGCCCTCTGATCATCTTTGTGGCCCTCCTTTGGACTCGCCTCAGCAGCTCCACGTCTTTCTTGTGCTGGGGGCCTTAGGACTGGATGCCCTTGTGAGGGCAGAACAAAGGCCTCCCTCACTCTGCTGGCTACCTCTCTTTTCATGCAGCCCAGGATACAGTTGGCCTCTGCTGACTCATGTCAAGCTGTTCATTCATTGTGTCCCCAAGTCCTTCTGTGCAGGGCTCTCCTCAGTAAGTTCTTGTCAGTACAGATATCTGGGACGGCTCCAGCTCAAGTGCAACAGCTTGCACTTTGCCTTCTGGAACCTCATTAGGTTAACATGGGCCCATTTTTTAAGCCTGTCTAGGTACCTTTTATGGCGTCCCTTCCTTCTCTTCTGTCAGCTGCACCATTCAGCTTGGTGTCATCAGCAAACTTCCTGAGGATGCACTCAATCTCACCGTCTTTGTCACTGATAACAATGCTGAAAAGCACAGCTCCCAAAATGGACCCCTGGAGGACACTACTAACCACTGGCTTCCACCTGGACATAAGAGCCACTGGCAACAGCCCTCTGGCTCTGACCATCCCACCGTTTTTTTTATCCATCCTGTAGGCCGGCCTTCAAATCCATATCTCTCCAACTGAGAGACAAGGATGTGATGTGGGACCATGTCAAAGGCTTTGCACAAGTCCAGGTAGATGACATCAGTTGCCCTTCCTTTGTCCACTGATGCTGTTACTGTCAGATGGCCACCAGATTGTTCAGATGTGATCTGTCCTTGGTGAAGCTGAGCTGGTTGTCTCTTATCACTTCTGTCTTGCATGTATCATAATGTAGATTTCAGGAGGATCTGCTCTTACTCAGTTGTTATCCTCAAGTTATTCTGTGTAGAACTGCTCTCTATCCACATTGCCCAGCCTTTATTCGTGTTTGGGATTGCCCCAGTGCATGACCTTATTCTTGGCATTGTTGAATTTCAAGAAGTGTGCATAGGCCCACATTTCAAGTCTTTTAAGATCCCTCTGTGTAGCATCCCTGCCCTTCAACGTAAAAGAAGCTACTATTTCTGAGAAGTAGACTGAATTATGTGATATTTATGAGTTTTGTCTCACCAGTTGTCCAATTCTATCTAGTCTTTATTTGTGAAGAGCTGGTGTACAAGCTTTCATTGACCATATGCAGAATCTAGTTAATATTTGCTTGTTTTGTGGAACTTCAGTGTGTCTTCAGTGTTCAGTTGAAAATTAAATAAATATCAAATTCTGGTACAAGGTTGCCTGCTGTTGGCATCTTTTACCTAAAAACATGCCAAATGCAAAAAAGTAAATTTTGATATATTGTGTGCTAGATGAATTATGCAGTTGTCTGCAGTCTTATAATACAAGACTTTGTCTTTAAACATAAAATTAAGAAAAATCTTAGACAAAAAAGTTCGGGTCATAGCACAAATACACTGCAAATTTTGCTGGGAAGGAGACAGCAAAGTGCCTGACAGGCATTAATTGCATTCAAACAGCTGGACTGATAGAAACAAGTGGTCCTTCTGTAAACTGTATTGAATTGCTGCCAAAGTAGCATGGAAAATGTACCTAATTACTTGTAGGTAGGTAAATAGAAACGCAGAGGCTTTTATATCATTACTTTGTTGTGTAATCACTAGCAGCAAAATTGCAAATATGATACCAAGCAAACTGGCAGTCTTCTAAAATGAAACATGTATCATCTCAGTGCTCCTCTGTTTATTTGTACCTTGAAAAGAACTGTTACTGCTCTCAAATTATTTATAAGTCTACTAGCAGAGAAATTATGAATTATGGAAGAGGCTTTTTAATGTGTTTTGGTTCAATAATTAGAAGGTAAATTGTGACTTAGCTGCTTTTGACTCTTGTGCGTACTGTAGCAGTAGTAGAATCTAATTGGAGTTGATAAACAAATTCATTCTCTTTAGAGAAAATGTCAGATTGTTGGACTTGGTAGGGTTTTTAAGGCATTTATCATTTATTGCAAGTTGTGACTTTGAAATAGAGGCAGAGTTACTTTACTGTCATCTCAGTATATAGCAAAAAGCAAAATAATGATGCTAGATGTTAGTAAATCAAGCAAGATAAATACCTTAAGATTTTATTATATAATTAAAGCCTCTCAAAATCCTTGGATTAGTTTGGGTTGTGGTGTTTTTTGGTTTTTTTTTTCCCCTACATTTAAAAAATGTTTATTAACATTATAATGTGACTTTTTTTATATGTGGGTTTTTTTTTTTTCCCTCTCTGATTACTGAAGAAATGTTTTGTAAAGTTAGGAAAACCTGAAAGGGAAAGGTAAAGAAATAAGTCATTTTATTTAAAGCAGCTCATGAGTAATCCTTTTCCAATCCTGTCATTTTGATGGTCTTTGAGGGATTAGATTGCTTCACTTCTCTGTCCTCATATCCCCACTTTGTTATAATGCATTCCTATAGAACTTTTGAAGATGAGCATCACTCTCTAGGTGAGCATCTCATAGATTCCACATGGGCTTTTCATACTTTGCTTCTACATCCTGCTGCCACAAGAACATTTGACACAAAGTGAGCTAAAAGGCCAAAGGAAAATGGTTGTAGGAAGGCATATAGCACCTTGCCATATTTCTGAGCTGCTGAGAGATCAGTGGCTGAGTAAGGCGGTTTGGAAGACGGTCTTCCCTCTGATGCTCTGCCACTTCTGTCTGGGAGTCTTTGCTTCTTTTATTTTATGAGGTGTCCACTGAATACAACCTAAAATCACAGTAACAGGAAAAGATCGAATTAATGTAGTGATGTGCCCCAGAGAGTGATTTTTTTTTCCTTTCATTTCAGTTTATATTGATGACTTCCTGTGGATTTTCCAGCTGTATCCATATAGTGGAGAGATTAAAATAGTGGTTTTGGCAGGAAAAAATGCTCTCAAAAATATATTGCATGTCACATTCACTCTGTGAGATAAAGTTGTGAAAATGAAGATTGCATCTCAGTGAGTCTTGTTTCTTGGTGTCTATTGGCAAAGAAAAGGAGAGATTTTTGCAGAAGTTTATCACAGATCTGTCCTTGCTCTTTTACTTGTACAGTGGTGGGAGACTTTACTGAGAGTGTCACATTTCCTATCAACTGCAAAAACAGTGTTCTGACTATTTATAACACAAACAGAGCATGTTTTTCAGATGGTTCTTTTCATGAAATGTGGGTCTTGGCTTTAATGCCTCCTTTTGTTTTGGTCATCTTACCCCTATCCTAGTCATATCCAAACTTTAGAATTTAAATTTAGCTACAAAGAGAAACACTCAGTGTCTAGCATTTAATATATATGTTTTTTCCCCCGAGTGTTAGCCAGATGTCTTTAAACATATGTAGATAATCAAAGAGGAAATGCTCAAGATAAGATACCTTGTTAAATGTGCTTCAGTTTTTTTCCTTTTCTTTCTGTTTTAGTGTTCCCTGCAGTTCTGATATGCAAAAAGATTGTCTCAGTTGTTCAAATGAGACTGATTTTCAAGAAATACATTCTTTATCATTGTTTACTAAAACATGTTACGAAGCTCAGAAGTTTCATAGTAATATTTGCATACAAAAATGTACAAAACTTGAGGTGTAAGGGCTTTCCATACAGCTTTGAATTTTGCTTGTTAATGCTGCAGAAAATGGGAGCAGGTTCTCTTGCTGGAGATAGATTTGTGTGTAACTGTGGGATCAACCACTGTCAGCTCTGTGACTAGATAACTTTCCTGCATGTGGACCCACAGCACCATCAGATGGCATGAATTAGGTACATTTGGATCTCTAAATGTGCCTTGAAAGTGGTGGTGGCTTTATTCTGGTATATTAGTATGGAGTGTCAAGAGCACGAAGTGTTTATGAACAGACTGGCTTGTAGGGTTGTCACGATGCAAAAGCGTTGCTCACAGGGCTTGCTCTGAAGTTTTTAGGGTTTGTCTTAAGTCAAGTAGGTGTTTTGACAGCATTTTCTCCAAGTGCTTTACCTGACCCTAAAACAGATGGAATACTTAAATTAACAAAATCTTTGCTCTGCTGTCTTTGATGGGAACAGATCTCTCTGGAAGTTCACTCCGTATATTCATGGCCATATCCAGCCTAAAGGGAAGGTGAACTTCCCATTCAGTTAAGTGTAAGATCCTACTTTTTCAATATTTCTTTTTTCTTCTTTTATTTAGGTACTATGATTCTTCAGATTTGAGAAGCAACACTTTCTCTAAATGGGATGACAATTCAGATCCTTTCTGGAAGAAGGAAAGTAATAGTAGAGATGTTGATGTAATATTAACTCCAAAAAATACAGGATTTTCAGAGAGGTATGCCAAGAAATACTGATTTTTGAACAGAAAGTCCAAGCATGTTAATACAATTTGAATCCTGATCATTGTAGTGAGATTTTTTTCATACTAGGAGGAGAACTTGGTCATAGGTTTGATCATCAGGCAAGGAACCTCCAGGCTGGGTTTCTTTTGAAGGCTGAATTTAATGTTCAGTGTTTTTAAAACTTATTGTCTGTTTTGATTTGCAGTATCTATTGGAGGTAGGTACAAAGTATTTGCAGCAAAAAGGTGGTAGGCAAAATAGAGAATGACTCACATTTGACTGTTTCGAGTACATACTTGTTTTATTTCCTTTGTGTGTTGCCTAATGAACCAAGTAGAACCCAGTTACTGAAGGAGTGAAACTCAGCTCTCAGGATCAAGATATCACAATTAGATCTGTTGTCTCTTTGATAAGAGATGAATGAATTTCTTCTTGTGACAACTGTGTTTTCATCTTTTCAAAAAAATGGAAAAAGCAAGAATGTGGGCTTTTGTGTGATTGCCAGCTGTATTTGCTTCTGTTCTTATTTAAAACAATTTTTCATTTATCTGTACGCTTAATGTAACTTTTTTTTTTTTTTTAAGACAGACATAGTCTCTTCTTTCTTAAAGACTGGACCAGTGATACATTCTTCACAAAATAGGCACTGATATTGTTCATAACGCTGTTAGTTTGTTATTTAAGCTTCTTTTTTCCTTTAAAAAAAAAAAAAGTATAAGCAGTTGAATATGCATGTTTGCTGAGATAAAAAGCCAGATCTTTTCGTACTGTTTGGTTTGAATGTGAATTTCACTGATGTGCTTTTAGGTGGGTTTGTTTTTCTTTTGAGGTTTTGTAGAAACATTCTGTTTTTGTTGACGTAATTTTGGCTTACTTTTCCAGTGAGCTCTAAAAATAAAGATGGCAGGATTAATGAATTTCAGATACTATAAGTTCATTGTCTTGTAAAACTGTCACTGAAATTTTATTTGCTGCTATATCAGACTAGTTATATAGTCCTGGATTTATGCTGATTTAATTTCTACATGCTGCTATTTTATAAATCACAATTATGCTTCTGGACTTCAAAAAAATGAAGATGGTAGTCCTTCTTATTTGATTTAGCATTCTGCCATGATATAAATGTAACACTGCTAATGCCTTCTGGTTTTTTTCTAGGCCTGCATCTCGTCGTAAGCCTGAATATGAGCCATCTTTAAGCACCAGTGAGGCACAAAAGAAATTTGGCAATGTAAAAGCAATCTCATCAGACATGTATTTCGGAAGGCAAGATCATGCAGATGTAAGCTGAAAACAGTGATAAATGTTACTGAATGTGAAAATACTGTTTGGCTGTAGAACAAGGTATTGTTGTGTATAAAGAGCAGGCAATAAATACTTAACAATCTGTAAAATTTCTAAGTTTGTAGTTATGTTCCTTTGAAAATTTGTTTGATAGAAATGGACAAGTCTCCAGTAACTGATAGTTTAGTATTTCCTCTCAAGGAGCTGAAACTGCTAGGAGGAGCTTGCCCCCAGTATCATTCTTGTAGAGGTGGTAGATAGTCATTCAGCAGTCTTTGATTTAGAAAGAATCAGCCTGATGCTGGATGAAGTCCAGCTTCTTTCATTGCAAACAAAAAATCCAATGTTAATGAACTGTTGATGAAAATAGCAGTCTCCTTATAATTGTAAGGCTAGGTAAGCTTATAAATTGTTCAGCAAATGGCATATAATTGGATCACCTACAAATAATAATAAAACAAAAGCATTAATATTAGAATTTTGTAGAATATTAGAATTCTGTAGGCAAGCAGTGGTTTAAAAAAATTTTCTTTTAAAAAAAAACAAAACAATGTAAACAGTGATGTAAAATAATATAATCATTTTATCACCATTCCCAAGGACTTAGAACTGGGAGAAGTTTAATTAAAATCATGATGTGTTCAGCAGGGATAAGACTTCAGGGCAACCTCGTTGTGACCTTTCAGTACACAGGAGGGTGACTGACTTCTTACATGATGATCTCATAGTAATAGGACAAGAGGAAGTATTTTAAACTAAAAGGAGGGAGGGGGTTAGGTGATAGGAGGAAAATTCTTCACTCAGAAATGGTGAGGCATGGAACAAGCTGCCCAGAGAAGCTATGGATGCCCCATCCCTGGAGCCACTCAAGGCCAGGTTGAATGGAGCCCTGGGCAGCCTGAGCTGCTGGGTGGCAACCCTACTTGCAGCACAGGGTTGGTACTGGGTGGGTTTTAAGGTCACTTCCACCCAAACCATTGTATGATTCTATGATACAAACACGCTGTGATGCCAAAGTGATGCTAACTGGAGTGTTTTTCATACCTCGCCACTATTTCATTTTTTTTATTGTGATTTTTAATGATTGAATAGTGCACTGTCCTCTGCCTGGTCAGCAATATAAACTTTTTTTAGGGGAGCTAACAGTGAACTAGCCTCTCAGTGTTGCACAGGAAGATGTCACTCTTTGATCCGTTAAGAAATGAGTTGAGAGGAGGAGGAAGTCATGCTGTATAAGCCACATATAATATGACAGTAGCTTTCAGAATGGTCAACTTCAGATGGATTTTTACATTTTATAATCTCATTATTTTACGTGAACTCTCAAAATCCCAGCACACTGTTAAAATACTTTTTCTTCTCAATTCTTTTCTAGTATGAAGCTAGAGCTCGACTGGAAAGACTTTCTGGAAGCTCCTCTATAAGTTCAGCTGACTTGTTTGAAGATCAGAAAAAGCAACCAGCAGGTACGTATTTAAGTGGGTGAAAAACTCTAGCATGCTGTGGGATACATTCCAGCACTCTGCTTCTAGTCATGGTATCAGAAAGCTATTACTGTATTCTGCAAAAAGTATGCAAAGTGCAGTATGCATTAATATTGCTAATAGATCAAGCAAACAAGACAGGTGTAGTCACTTTTTTTCAAAAAGTTCATTTATTAGATAAAGAGTTGCATGTTTCAGTTCAGTGACTTCAGTATTTCAGTATAATTTTTATGACATACTGCTTTTTTTGTGTATGAAAACAAAGAAGACTTGAAACTCTATAATAATCTCTTATAGAAACAAAGGAGATGATACCTAAATTCAGGTAATCTTTTGATGAGTTACCACATGCGTGCCACGCATTGTAATAACCGTATTGAATCTACTTTGAACACTGGTCTTGCCAAATTGTTAAGGAAATGTTGCAAGTTGTTTGTCTGTTGAGAAGGTTTGTTGGAGTACTTTAGGCTGGAGAGTACATATCACCAGGTTAGAAAAGAAGTAGTATTAAATAGACTGAAAAGTAGTGTTCAGGCTATTGAAAATCTCGTTGTTTTTTAGCATGCTGGTAATAATTCAACAGCGTAGTGTTGTTTCACAATGGGCTCTGTCCTTTCTCAGAATATGATATTTGAGGATTCTGCTCACTTATGCGCTAGGTGTGTGTATACATGATAAAATTCTCATCATACTCTACATAAGGATACTTGCAAGCAATTATACAAAGTTTATTATATGTATGGGAACTGTGCACATGTTTATTCATTACTAACTACTTGGAAAGTCTCTTAGGGTGTGTGGAGTACAGAGATTTCTTATAAAAGAATGCAACATACTTTCCTTCATTTCATGGTTATTTACTCACTGCGACTGGCATCCTTGTTATGTAATTCAACAGTGAATTTGAAGTTACGTTACAAAGTGGCTCAATTTCCTGCACAGTTACTACACTTCTGAGCAATAAAAGTGAGGAAACAATACACCAAGAAGTGTTAGTTGGTGTGTTTTAAATTCACATTATATTCAGGCTCTAGGATCTGTCTTTCCTGCTTGTTTTTCTTCCTCTCTAGGTCTTTCCTGCTTGTTTTTCTGTTACAATCCCCTTCTCAAAGGTTATTTTAGACGATGACCATTTGAGATATTTTACTGCAGTCATACTTGTCTGTTGTTGGATTAATGCCAAAGTCATGATCAGTTCTGATTACATTTATTTTACGGAAGACCGGAGGTTGGCAACAAATGCACTGCTCTAATTCTGGGGTCCTTGCCAATATAGAGTCTTGAAACTAAAGTTATTTTCATGAACACTGCTGAGATTTTACATCACAAAGTTTCAGGATACCTGTCTTTATACAGAACGCCGGAGGATCTAGTTACCAAAAAGATAAGGCAGCAAAAAGGAGTTTTTAGTTTGTATTTTTTTTTAAACCTGCTGCTTTTGAAAGATGGCATGTCAGGTTGTTGACTTGCAAATGATGATTTTGAAGGAAGTTAGAAAACAAGGAGTTACCTACCTCTGTTATTTTGTACAATTGTCTTGTAAACTAGAAAAACAGGAGAAAAATCATTTGATTGAGAAGAGAGTAGAGCTTCGTTCCTTTTATTCATATATGTGATTTTTATTCCCGTTGTTTTGGCTTTAATAGAAAAAAAAACTGAAGCATGTGTTAAATGGAATAAAGTTACAGTTCAGAAGTAGAGATATCTCAGTGATAGTGAATTTTTGAATAATGTTTTTTTTTAATAAGGAAGCAATAGGCGATGTGCCCATGTGCCATAGAAGGGTCTCAGAGGAAGGGAAGCTTGCTGAACATGAAAAAGGGAGCTGCAGATTCTCTCTCTGGGGAAAAGAAGAAAAAAAAAAAAAAAAAGCAGCCAGTATATAGAAATGCTGTTGAAAGCCAGCGTGTGGAAATGTTGTTGAAAGGAGTTACAGTTCTGAAAGATGTGGTGTCTGCAGCTGGATGAACTTGTGTGCGGGTTGATAACTGCGCACGACTTACCAGCCGTGCTCTGACTGATCAAAGGTATTGATTGGCTGCATGCCTAAATTAGGGCTACAGATCAGTCTTTATTTTGAAAATGGTTTATTTGGATATGCTTCCTCTCAGGAACCTCATTTATTCACGAGATCATAGCTCTGCAAGAACTCTTTCACTGACATTTGTGTCCTTTACAGCATCAGACGCTTGGAAGACTTCAAAATACTTTGCAGAATTTAGCATGACAATAATTCTTCTCACTGATGAGCATTTGATTGTAATTGTGTGTTAATACTTACTATACTATTAGTTTTGAAACACCTTTGCTTTCTGCTGTTTCTAGACCTGTAATTCTCATAACAGCAGTAGAGGTAACACTGTTTTTAAGAAAGGTTGGATTGCCAGCTTTGCTGGGGAGTTTGAAAACCTGCTATGTAAATGACCATTGCTGCAATTCCAGAGAAATTTCAGTCTGTGGATATAGTAATGCAAAACAGCAAGCAAAGTATGCCCATGCATGCACACAAATAAGATTCATTACTTCTCATTCATCTCCAAATTGCAACGTAAGAACAGCTGTTCAGGATGTGAGACAAACCACTGCAGCAGGTTGGAAGCACAGGATAAATCATGTTTCATCCAAACATATAATGCTTAACTGGGAATGCAAAGTGTAGAAAATGGCAGACTGGGTGGAAATATCAGCTAATGAAAAAATAAAAAGCAAGATGGATTTAAGAAATTTAAGATTCTTACCTACTGTTTTCTCTAGTGGTTATCAGATGTTCATCTTTAGTCCACTCCATAGCATACTGTACTTCTTAGGGGAAAAAAGAAGTCTGCTTTTTATACAAAATTGTTTTCTTTTTGTCTCTGTGTGTTTCCCCCTTTAGGAAGCTACAACATTACAAACGTCTTGCCTTCCGCTCCTGATATTGCCCAGTTTAAACAAGGAGTGAAATCAGTGGCTGGAAAGCTTTCTGTACTCGCTAATGGAGTCATGACATCTATACAGGTTAGTAAAAATTGTGATATCTTACACTTCAGTTAAAGTTGTCTTGTAGGCATCTAATGTCATAGATCCTGCTGCAAATTATTTTTGGGAAGAATGGACTCAGTTTTGAACTTCATAGACCTGCCATGATTGACAGTAGTCCTTTATAATTTTAAAGGTAAATCTTGAGCTTATTGCACACCTACTTCTTGTTTCTTTCCTTACAGAGAGTGTTTTTTCTTAAAACCTAAACAAAAATTCCATTACAGAAGTTGTTTGTTGTCTTGCTGTTATAGTTCCTAACTCTTGTATTGGTTGTGATTTGACAGTAGTACCTTAGATCTATGCACAAAATTAAAGCATCTTATCCTCCATCATGTAAAGCTTTCCTGTGGTTTGTGCTTCCTATATGAGGGCAATGGGAACTATTTCAGATTTGAAAATCAGGCCAATTATCCCTCAGTTAGCTGTGAGCTCCAGTTCTTCTAAAGTGACCAATTTTCTTAAAGAAAGATTTTAAGAATTAAACTACAATTTATTTCACTAACGTAAGTGCAACTGATTTCTTTCAGTGGAAAACATGCTCATGTCTGTTTTTTTTGTTTGTTTGTTTGTTTTCTAGGATCGATATGGTTCTTAACAACTTGCATATCAATGAAGTACACTAAAGAAGAGTTTCTCTTCAGATGCACAAGTAATCACACTGCTGATTTGAATAAAGGTTGCCTTAAGACTGTTCATGTTCTAATTGTTCCAGCCTATTTTTGTGCAGCTTTCTGGTGCATCTTTTTATTGCTATTTTGTTGCTATTTCACAGAGCAGAAATTATGTAGCAATTTGTTACATTGCATATGCTTTTATTTTTCTTTTCCTTTACAGTCTTGTATTTCTCTTAGTGACCTTGATGTTAGTTGTTGGGAGCTTTATATTATTACTGCTTTTGTCTGTGAGGCAAGAAAAAGAAAGAAAGATGAGGATGTACATTAGAAATGAGCTTTCCCAACAGAAACGTATCTTCTGGCTGTCTTACAAGCTGTGGAGAAGAAAGTAAGCTTATGCTGAGATAGTATTTAGTGGTCTGTAGCAAAACATAGAATGAAGTTAAACCTGCGTTTATCAGGAAGTAGAAGCTCTTGCAGTCGTAAATTGATGTGCATTGAAGTGATGGGGGATTCATGTTTTAAAATGATATTTCTGCAAAAAAATGTTGTAATTAATGTGAGGTATAGGGGAGATAAGGCACCTGGTGTTTTGAATAATAGATTTCATCTAGTTATGAGAACAATCTATTTATTCCTGGTTTTGAAAGTTATTAAAAAAATTGCAATATGGAATCCTTAAGTGCTTTAAAAACAATCTGTATTGTGTACAAATTGAAAAAAAACTTTAAGTATATAAAGGGCCTAATAGAGTAGTTAGTAAAATACTTATTAAAATGTTCAGAACAATCATAGCTTTTTGATAAATAATGAAATTTTGAATGAGGAAATATAGTAGAACTGTGTTTTAGACAGTTTGGATTTTTTGTTGATAACATCTTGTATAAAAATGATTAGATCTTAAAGGAAAAACCTCACAACCAAGAATGAGCTCAAGCTAATTCTGTTCTGTAACTTTGTTTCTTAATTCAAATTTGTAAACTGCCGATATCTAATAAAATAAATTGATATAAATGATTTTTTTTTAATTAAATTCATATATGCAGACGCCAGTCTCCGGCTTTCTAAATACTGCCATCTGTATTCCATACAATGATCTGGTAAAATTAGCCTTTAATTTCAGTTAGTGAAACTAACTTTCTTATTAAATTGCTATAGCAGTAGAAATCAAAGCACTAAGTGGGATGGAAAAGAAAGTTTCTGTATTCAAACGTGGTGAAATACAGTTCACATTGTGTAGATGTATTTGTTTTTCAGTTTCTCAGTGCCTCTTGTATTTAACTTCTCTTCTTCTAACTTCTCTCACAGCTGTTCAGATTTAAGCTAAAAATGATGATTCTTTTCTGAGAATAGAAGTATTTATCCTGCTCAGTTGTAGAGTTTTTACACTTTGCTTTTTTTCCTTTCCCACTCCATAAGATGATTTTGCCTAATGTAAAGAGAAAATGCTTTATTACACGTAAAAAATGGCCTTATTTTCAGATTATCAGTGTGCCAGCTGCACCCAGTGACTTGCAGAAGAGCTGCTCTTCTTATAACTAGTCTGCAGGTTTAAACATTTGTGTGTGGATAGAGTTGCCTTACTTCAGGCAGTGAAGTATAATAAAATGTTCTATCCCTGCCCCCACCTCCATCCTGTCCCATCCTGTCTTTTGGTTTCTCGTATTTTAAACATGTAAATGAGATCACCTACATAATTATGGGTGTTTGTTTGTTGTTTTTTTTTTATTGTTGTAATACCGCAAACCACTTACAGATGGAAAAATGTGGAAAAAATGGTATTTTCAGTACAAAAGAACAAATTACTGAAGGAAACAATTGCGGAGTTACCTTGTGTGCCATGAAGCAAGTGTAACTTTGTATAAACTTCTATGTAACTGTATAAACTTCTTCCCTTGTGCTGCAATCTGGGGAATGCAAAGTGTTGAACAATTCAGTATTTTCAGAAATACTGTCTAGTTTAACGTCATTTGGATTTATGCCTTCATTTATTGTTGCAGATTCTCTATGGCAACCTATTACCACTAATACCTTCTCTTGACGTAATGACTGGATGTGTAGCTCTTAACCTCTAATGCACCTCTTTGTGTCATTAATAAACCCCTGAGGTGTCACTGTTTCATCAAGTGGAGGTGGGGATGATTGCCGTGTACACTGGGAGAGCCAACTTTAACTCCTCAAATTGAACAGAATCATAGAATGGCTTGGGTTGGAAGGGTCCATTAAGATTATCCAGTTCCAACCCCATTCCATGGGCAGGGCTGCCACCCACCAGTTCAGGCTGCTCAGGGCCCCATCCAACCTGGCCTTGGTTGCCTTCAGGGATGGGGCATCCGCAGCTTCTCTGGACAGCTGTGCCAGTGCCTCACTGCCCTCTGAGTAAAGAATTTCCTTCAAATATCTAACATCCATTTTTTTTTACTTTAAAAGCATTCTCCTTTATCCTGTCACTGTCAGACTGTGTAAAAAGTCAGTCTATGTCTTGAATATAAGCTCCTTGTAAATACTGAAAGGCCACAGTGAGGTTTCCCCGGAGCCTTCCCCAAGGTGAACAGCCCAACTCCCTCAGCATGTCTCCAGAGAAGAGGTGCTCCAGCCCTCTGATCATCTTCGTGGCTCTCCTCTGGACCCACTCTAACAACTCCATATCTTTCCTGTACTGGAGACCTTAGACCTCCAGTGCTCCAGATGAGCACTCTTGAGGTCAGAACAGAAAGGAACGATCACCTCCCTCACCCTGTTGGCCAACCCTGTTTTGATAGAGCCCAGGATACATTTGGCCTTGTGGGCTGCTAGCACGTGCTGCTGACTCATGTTAAGCTTTTTGTGTACCAAGACCTCAAGTTCTTCTGTGCAGGGCTGTTCTCAGTGACTACTTCTCCCAGTCTGTACACATACCTGGGATCACCATGACCCAAGTGCAACAGCTTGCACTCTACCTTGTTGAACCTCATTAGGTTCATGTTGGCCCACTTTTCAATCCTGCCTAGGTGCCTTTTATGGCATCCCTCTTTTCTATTGGATTAAGTGCTCCATTCATCTTGGTGTCATCAGCGAACTTGCTGAGGATGTACTCAGTGTCACTTTATCATTGATAAAGATGCTAAAGAGCACTGATCCTAAAACAGACCCCTGGGGGATACCACTCATTACCAACCTCCACTTGGACATTAACCATAATGCTCTGGCTGTGACCATCCAACCAATTCTTTATCTATCCAATAGTCCAGCCTTCAAATCCATATCTCTCTAAGTTAATATAAGATAAGGATGTGGTGTGGAACCATGCCAAAGGCCTTGCACAAGTCTGGGTAGATAACATCAGTTTCTCTTGCTTTTTGTCCACTGAAGCTGTCACTGTCACAGAAGGCCACCAGATTGGTCAGGTGTGATTGCTCTTGGTGGAGGCATGCTGGCTGTCTCAAATCACCTCATCTTGTATATGCTACAGTATAGCTTCCAGGAGGATCTGTTCTATGATCTTCCCAGGCACAGAGGTGAGACTCAACATGTAGTTCCTGAGGTCTTCCTTTCTGCCCTTCTTAAAAATGGGAGTGATACTTCCCTTTTTCCTGTCAACAGGGATTTCACCTGTCAGCCATGACTTTCTTAATATGATGGAAACTGGCTTGGCAACTACATCATCCATTTCCTTCAGGACGCTGGGATACATATTATTGAGCCATAGACATTCTCTTTCAGTCTCATCAGGTGGTCTCAAACTTCACTTACAGCAGGAGGAATTTTGCTCCCTCAGCGTCTGCCTAGTGGTTCAGGGATGTGAGAGAGGTGGGAAACCCGACTGCCAGTGAAGACTGAGGCAAAGAACTCACTGAGTACCTCAGCCTTCTCCATGTCTGTTCTCCCTTCTCATTTATCCGAGGGAGTATGCTCTCCTTGGCCTCTCTGTTCTGACCAATGTACCTGTAGAATCCCTTGTTATCTTTCACATCCCTCACCAGATTCTGTTCCATCTGCACTTTGGCTTTCTTGATCTCATCTCTGCACGTCCAGACAGCATTACTGTATTCTTCCCAGGCCTCACAACCCTACTTCACTGCCTGTACCCGTCCCTCTTTTCCTTCAGTTTGACAAGCAGGTCCTTGTTCAGCCGTGCCAGTTTCTGCCCAGTTTCTTATGCTGGACCTGAAAGTTGTCCTCGATGCATTCCAGGAGCCTCGTGGTTTGCTTGCAGCCTTCCAGTGTTGTTTTCCCAGTAGATATTGGGTGGTTGAAATCCACCATCAGGATGAGAGCCTGCAGGCACGATGCTTCTTGTACATGAAGCAAGAAAGCCTCATCAACAATCTCCCCTTGGGAAGGCAGTCTGCAACAGACCACAACTACCACATTTTTCTCAGAGGCAGGCAACGCTTCTCAATCTATCCACTTCTTAACATAAAGGGCAACTCCTCTGCCCTTGCTTCCCTGCCTGTCTCTTCTGACAAGCTTGTAGCCCACTACTGCAGTGTTCCACTTGTGCGATTCGTCCCACCGCATTTCCATTATAGCAATTAGATCACAGTTTCCTAATTGCACCATGGCTTCCGACTCCTCTTGCTTATTTCCTGTGCTGCATGCATTGGTGTGGAAGAACTTCATACAGATTATTGGCTATGTCACCTTCTTTGAGGAGCTTCGTGGGACTTTGGAATACCATGGAACCTCTGATCCTACAGAATTTGATCGGACTGGATCAAGTATCTAAACAGAATTAAGTTTGTATTCTTGCTTTCTTTTTTTCTTTTTGTTAACCTTCAAACACATCCGTCAGCCTCTGATCATAGGGGATGCTGCTGCTACAAGCTTCACAGATTTTATAATAGGAGAACTATCTATTGGGCCTGGTTTTCCTGCAAGTGAAATTTTGCATTCCCTTCCCTTAAGCCTTTCTTAATCCCAGTGTACTTCTTGCTTTTGCAAAGCTGGAGCTGAACAACAGCAATTCTGAACCATTAAAGTTTCTCTTCTCCTGAAGGTTTCTTCTTGAAAGTTCCTCCTTAAAGTTTCTCTTCTCTCAAAAGTCCTGTAGGAACTCTGCATATAACGAGAGGGGAGAAGGGATTATTCAATACTTTACG